TAATATTATTATATACTGTATTAAATATATATAAATCTAACTAACTATAAAAAATAATAATAAAAACTATAGAATATTTTACTAGGAATACTAGGCTAGTAGTATAAGCTATAATCTATAAAATCTATAATTAGATCCTAAAGTAGATAGTTAAAATATATAAGAATATTATTAAAGAAATTACTAAGATATATAAGAGAACTATTAAGATATTATAAAAAGCTTAATAGAAGGAGTAATAGGTACTAAAGTAGATAATAATAAACTAGAAGAAAATAATAGAATAACTATAATAGAATATCTAAAGTATTTAAGCCTAATTAGTATAGGAGTAAGAGTTAATATAATAGTAGATTAATAAGCTTAAATAAGTATAATAGTAAACCCTATATAATAAAATAAAAGATATCTATAACTAACTAGATATAATAGCTCTATAACTTATAACTAGTCTAATCTAGATAAAACTAGACTAATTATATATAGATATAGCTTATACCTATCTAGTAAGCTAATTAAATAATATATTATAACTATTAGCTATATAAATAATATTACTACCTACTAGTATTAAGATCCTTCTTTATATAAGTAATATATTATATATTAGTAAAGAGAATAGAAGTAAGATATAGATTAGAGAGATCTAATAGATAATTAAGGAGGAGATATAGAAGAAGAAAGACTAATAGAGCTAGTAATATATAGCTATACTTAAAAATATAAGAAGTATAAACTATATTAAGATAATCTATAAAGATAGTAAGAAGATAAACCTTATTAAGAAAGTAGTAGAGAAGATAGTAGTTTAAAATATAAGGGTTTTTAGGGATTAACTATATCCTATTAAGGTTAATAGAGCTAACTATATTATTATCCTAAATATAGAGAGTAATATACTACTCAGAGTAATAGAGATCTCAGGAGAGGAAAATAATATAATAATCAGTAAAATCTATTAGCTTAGTAATAAAGAAAATAGTAAAATATATAGATCTATAGTAATCTATATTACTAAGGTAAATAATATAAGATAGTTTCTTAAAGAGTAATACTTTTATCTAGCTAGTAAATTAGCTAGTATTAATATCTATAAATAATAAAGATTAGTATAGTATTATAAGTACTAGTATATAAATTATAAAGTTTTTATATATTAAATGGAGTAAATATCTACTCTTTGAGAACTATATAGGTTAGTTTATAAGCGTTTTAAAAATACAAGGTGTTCTGAAATATTATATTCTAAGGTCCTTTGGGCTTTTAGTATAAGACACTGCAAACTATTCAGGCCTTTGATACGCTTAACTTCTTTGAATCTATCCCATAGTAAGGAGTTCAGCTTCCTTTCTACAACCCAGTGCCTCCCACCACAGATTCTGTACACTTAGACCCAAAGTCCTTCCCCGCGAAACGATCTGCAATAAACTGAATCCACTCAGTCGAACTGTCCTTAAGTACTGAGCCGTGGTCTCGTCCCACGTATACTGTACGATGAAGGATATTGCCGTAGCCGCAAGAGGCATCAAACGAAGCTTTGGAAGACTCCGGGCTCACGAGAATATCCGCAGACCCGTGAATGACGAGCAGGGGTTTTCTAGCAGGGTCTCCCTGGGCTGGAGAATTAAGAGCCTGGAATTTCTGCATCTGAGAATCGTCTGTGTTACTCAGACTCAGGAATACGTCGTTGGGTGTGAGATCCAGCATGAGACCACCGAGGGCGTAGAGGCAGAGCTGACCAATGCTGGCCAGCTCGATCCTTTGCTTGACCTTCTCCGTCAGTAAGGGGGCATCGTAATAGCCAGGGAAGTATCTCTGGAGACCAAGAGTTGTCGGCGGGATGGTTGTCAAGAAGGTTTGAATTTCCTCGGCAGTACTGCTGTTGCTCTGGAGGCTCCTCAGAGTAGATTGAAATTGGTCACTGAGCTTCGTTGGCGGAGCCACAGCCACACCCCCGAGGTAACCACTACTGGCATCCTGGACGAGTTTGTGCTCTGAGAGCTGCCAGATGGCACCACCACCTTGTGAGTGGCCCAGAGAAACCCATTGCTGTGATAGTCGTTGCGGGAACGCCTTCTGTGCCGCCAGAACAGAGTAGTAGACATCATTTGCCTGTGCCTTGCTGAGATACAAATGCTCTGTGTAATTGTTTCCAAGCCCAGCAAAGTCAGACACTACGACTGCATAGCCGGCCGCGACAGCTCTTGGCCACCCATCGTCATTGAAGAGCTGAGTATACGTCGAGGGCGCGCAGCCTCGGTAGAGGCCAGTCGTCCCATGGGCGAATGCGACGAGGTTAGATCGAGAATCATTTGTAGCAGGGGGCAAAGCAATCAGCCCTGTGACTGGGACAGGTGTGCCATCCAACGCTGCGGATGTGTACTGGAACTTATAGGCCGTTACACCTTCGGGGGCATTGGAGATGGCGGAGGAATTGCTACGGGGCAATAGCTTGAGTAGATCACCCGGCTTCGATTCGGAAAGGTTGGCAGCGGTTGCGTAAAAGTCGAAGTCGAAGTTTGTTCCGAAGGTTCCTAAGTCTAGAACATTCATCTGGGCTATTATCTGTTGACATACGACGTCACAAGAGTGCGATTCGGCAACTTCGGTTGGCACGTCGAAGTTGGAGGCTTGTTGGGAGTTTGCGAATCCCAAGCCCATTGCCACCGTAGCCAAGTGAAGAAGTTTGGACCCTGCGTATCTTGCCATTTTAGCGATGTTGTATTATGAGATGTGAAATTCAAATGAGGAGCACCGCTAGGAATGGATCGATAGATGGGGTGAGGTCTGTTAAGACATAAATCAAGTCTCATTGTCAACTCTTTACTCAACCTCAGCCAAAGGGGCCACTACTCACCCGTTAGTATATGGATATATGATATATCACAGAACCTGGATGAAATGTAAACCATCCCCCTTTCAGGACTGTGAAACGCTGAGCAGTAATTACCTGCTCCACTTGTTCTGACATGTTAACTGCACAGCCCCTCGCCTCTTCCTGCACAGCCTCCCTCGGCATTGAATGTAATCTGCTGCTCGCGCTAGTCGGTAATTCTGTTACAGGTACCGGTAGATCCGGTCAGTAAGATACTTGACATCATCCCCAAAGGAACCCTCTTAAGCCTACCAAAGCTCTAGCCACATGAATACCATCGTCTTTAGAAGGAGTCACTTGATCAAGGCAGGCGAGCCCCATGAGTAGAAACAACTTTCTCAACATTACTAAAAGAAAGTGGTTATTCCGAACAACAGAGTTTATAGACAGCCACTAGTGTATGTATCGAACTGTAATACCCACGGAAGTATCTATAGAGATTTATCGTTTACGAGGGGCATGAGTTCCTAATTCTTGTATCGCAGTCATTTCTCTCGCCCGCTCTATCTTTTTGTTGCGCAAGGAACAAGAAGACCACAAGGATCTATAGCACCCTACCAAATATAAACTTGGTTAAGACTCATATTCCAAGCAAGGACTTCTTATAGAGGGATGGTCCAATTAGGAAAAGCTCTGGGATGTTGAAGATTCCACGAAGGATCTGGCCAAATTTTATACCTATTCTTGGTATCTATCAAAGCTTTGTAATCAACATCAGATGATCTCATTTTAAGAGTTTAGTCATACAATAACCGTCCTGGCTAGTTACATGTAGAGTTCCGGATCTCCACAGAGGCGGCTTTGGGAGCCGAGAAAGATGACGAGAATTTCAGCTGAAGCTTGAGTTGAGCGGACCATCTCATAAGGGAGCAAAGAGTACTATCCAATAACAATTAAAGATCCTTCAATTTAAAAGAATTATTGGATTGCAAATCAAATCAGGGGCTGGAGTTCGTGAATTTAAGGGCCAAGGCTAATCAGTGGATTTTCTAGGCTAGAAGTTCAAGACTTGAAGTTAACATGCAACACTGCATAGATACATAGAGTGAGAACCCAGTCTGTTCTTTTGAGGTCTATCGAAGGATCCTTTAGAGATCAACATGTTGGTAAGCCGAGTTGTTAGGATATGCGACTTTGCATATCTAGTACAATGTATCGAAGACCTAAATGGAGAAGGGAAAAAATGATTCTTGGGAGCTTTTGTTTTGTGTACAGGCTCCATGTTTCCCCAAGAAGTCAATGAGGTGTGACAATCAGGAATTGAGTACCAAAACCGCACGTGTGTAGTTCAACGTCTGCAAAAGGACCCGAGTAAGAGGTTGGCTAGGAAATGTGTGATTTCACACAATAACCGGATTTTGATTTCTATTGTTCACTTAAACTATATCTGATTAACAGATGTTGCAGATAAAGGCTACACTACGTCTAGCAAGTTGTTGTCTAAAGCAGTCTGATAGATTGTATAGGGTAGGTCGACCTTAGGGATCCATCTGGGACACGCGATTTGCGTCTTGACGCAAATCTCCACCACTGACGAGTCCTCAGTCGATCATCAAGCAGCTCGCCCAGCCTGTCCGCCTGCCCGCAAACACCATTACCATGTTCATGTCCATGGGCGTCGCGTAGCCCGAGCGACACCGAGATCGCCGCGCGGTCTAGCGCCTACCGGACCGACTGTTCACTCCTCGTGTCCATCGCCGACATTGCCGGACCAATGTCCGTCTAAAGATACGCGTCCGCTGCCCGCTCAAGAGCCGCAGACCCTCCGACCCGTACGCCGTGCCGATACTGCCTAGGAGCGAAGTCATACAGTCGAACGCGGCCGCCGCTTGAACACCAAATGGCAGGGACAGGAAGACGACAAGGAACTGCGTCGACGCGTAGTCGTTCGTGACGATAAACTACGAGCCGAACCATAAGCCAAGCGCAATGAGGATGAACTTGATCGATAGCGACAACGGGAAACTTGGCGAGCCGAAAGTGATAGTCGTCAGCACCAACTTGGCGATGTCGTCAAGAGGTGCTGTCTTCGTTACAAGTCTGGTCCTGGGCGTGAGCGATGCCAGAGTTTACATCGATGGTGCCGTCTCTGCCTCCAGGTGCCGCTCGTATAGTTCCCAAGCTTTTATTCAAGCCAGCTTCGCCCGATCTCGGAGCTGATGCGGACGGCCATGCCGGTGAAGACTGTTTGCTCCCCGAACTTCTCGCCGTGAACGATGGCGAGGATGCTGAGGGGGCGCTGTCGGTGACGCAGACCAAGAACATGGACTGGTTTTGTCAAATGCGGTCCCGTGTAGGTCTTGAGGTTCGCATGCCGCGCCCTGTTCGCCCCTTACATGTAACGTAGACAAGACGTCCCAAAAATGTAGCTTGAATAAGAGAAGAACTGCTCGTCGTGCCTGGTTTGGTCATGTTACTACCAGCTCGACTAACGTCCCGTCTTTTCCTATCCAACATAATATTCTTGTAGCAAGTGAGAGACATGGCAATACACGGCTTTGGTGTGGCCGTTCCATGAGCTACAGAGCTGAAGCTCTGGGACATGCAGGGAACACAGCAACGTCTAGAAGCCAAATAGTTTGCAGCTCATCTGATTAGCAATCACATGTTTGAAGAAATGGTCGACCTCTTCTACTTGCCAACCGTAGTAAACTTGGAAGTTTCAGTATCAAGTCCTGAAACCTTCCGATGGCGTGCAGGCGAGCCTAATCTCGGGCATCTCACTTCGCTCAAGATTGGATGACTTTGTGAACCGTTTTTGGCTAACATTTTTGCATGTGATATGGAGGTTGAACATGTTATTGTACGCTATTGGTGATCATTCCTGCCATGACCATGCCAGACGTCCCTAGAAGGATGTTAAATCTGATGCGGTTTATTCAAACGTAGTTTAGACTCATGAAATCTTTTATGCTGTGAGCTACTATGGTAAAACTAAAGGCCTGTGTCTAACACGATAGAACTCAGACGGGACGACATACACCTTGGCCTAGTGTTTCGGATATTGGATAGCCTGATCCCGAACTGTGATATTGCCGGAGCTGCCTCAGTTAATTAGTCATTATTTGGAGGGTGTGTTATAAGAATGTACGATATGATAAATCTCATAGTCCAAACTTTCGTGAAGCCTAAACCTAGAGGAAATACCCTACGTTGAGGTAAACTCAACAATTCAACGTAGGGTCAAGTCTAATCTTGCGTGTAGGAAGAAAAAGCAAGATTCTATAACATAATTCCATCGGCTATGTATAAGTCTATCAAAAATGGTCTAAACCGCCTTTTTTTCTTTATCTACTAGCGTTCTCCCTATCTAATTCTTCTAATGGTATTTCCGTCTGCAGTTTCGAATACTTTTGCTTCTGGAGCCGCTTCTTCACAACAAATCGATATCCACCAAACCCGACCAGCATGAAGCATAATGTAAACATCATCAGCGACATATACTTTCTCCATCCCCTAATACAACAAGGATACCAAAACATAAACACACCCACAATCCATTCCGGCCAGCTTCGTTTGGCACCACCATTGGGACCCAAACCGGTACGGATGAGTGCTTTCATCACCGGGCCGGTAGGCCCAGAAACAAATCGCTTCAGGCCGAAGTATGGGACTGTCGCCTGATCCGGGTTGGTGTCTGGGTATTTCTCGTCGCCCCAGAGACCTTTGTAATAGATGAATCCATCAGACTTGACGAGGGCCGGGTCATTTGAACCCTCGCGATGAAGTGATGTGAAGGTGGAGCTCTTGGGGTCGTAACGGTAGAAGAATGCTGATCCGACGGGATCCCAAAGGTGGCCGGCTTTGCACCAGTCGATCAACACAACGTTGTGGATATGATCTCTGTTCACGGTCAGATATCGCAGAAATGGATGGGACGTCAAGGCGACTTACCCCTCTGTCACGTAGTTGGCATGTGATCCGTACGCACTGTAGACGAATGGCTATCTCACGTTAGCATTTCATCTATGAGATATCATCATACTGAGCCAGAAGCTTACCCGGATTCCATCCTTTTTAGAGATGGTATGGTCGTTCCAGTCAAAAGAGGCGCCACCGTCGTGCTGACTATAGAATAGACCAGTAGGCTCTCCATTCTTGAACCGAATCATGTTGTGTTCCCTAAAAGGCCATGTTAATTAGGGGGCCGAAGCAGTTGGATGGATGGAAAGAAATTACCAGTCTCCAACGTGATCACCAAAATGGAATGAGGGCGGGTGGGCTCCGAAGATGCGGTTAAAGGGCTCGACAACCCAGGTGATGTTGGCCCCCCTATTGTAAGAGTAGAAATACCAATAAAACACATCAGTGATTTCGGGGCTCTTTTCAATGAGTAGCACCACACAGGCCGTGGAATTGTGAAGTATTCCCTTCTCATCTGGCATCTCACCCAAGAGCCATGACGGTATTGTTGTGACATTATCCTTTGAAGTCAAAGCCCCTGGGCCACCCTTGGCGGTATTGAGAACAGCCAAATTGTCCAAACTTAAATGTGGGACATCTGGGATTGGCTTGTGTGCCGACATTGGGGTGGTGTGGCGAACATGCTCGAGCAGATCTGACGGACGGAACGGATCCTCCGGATGAAGCCACAAGAGCGGTGCTATTAATTGGTTAGACCTTCAGATTCTCCTGGTTTCTCGTGGTCTGCGTCATGGAGTGGCATTCTCACCGTGTTTTATCACGTAGTCAGGGACCTTGGGCTGCGGCTCACGAGATGACACATCCAGGGGGTTCCCATTCCCAATGCCCGCTGCGGACAAGCCAGCCAAGACCTGAGCCGCGAGCAGCAGGACCGACACGAAGGAGGGATAACGATGGCCCATTTTCCCCATCGACTGTCGGGGCGCTGCGCCGAGACACCCTCGGGCAAAGTGGACGGTGCTTCGACACAAAATTTGGCGATGGTGATATGCCAACGGTGTTCATCCTGGGCAAATAAATAAAATTGCCTGATGTTTCGGATTAGTCAGATCAGAGAAAACGATAGCGCAGACTGGATTAGCTAGATTGGGTTATTCACGGATTCCGTTGCCTAATGAGGACGAAGATCAAAGGAAGCGTGATCGATCTGACTTTGACAAGCATGGAATGCATGGAATACCCTTCCTAGAGATATTATTTTATCAATCAAGGGTAAAATATCATCAGTAGATCTCTGTCTGAATGCCTACGACAGGGGCACGTTGCATCTGAGATGAGACATTGTTCTTTTTTAGGTTTTGTTGTGGACAAAAAAGAGTACACGAGAATACATGGGCTTGGGCTTATTTCCTAGCATACTTTAAGTACTCTTTCGGGAGCTGCTTTACACAATCACGTCTCATTAATACCGCAGGCCTTGATAGTCTCCCTACCCTATAGCTCAAGAACGAACAGCTTTGTGTCGCGTCTTCATGTCGCATTGTAAGTATGTAGGAAGATAAAGAAGAAGAAAATTTAGCATTGAATATATGGCATTGATTCACTGTAGTTTCTAACTCATTTCTTCTTTTGAATGACATCTTATGACTTGAGGACCTTGAACACCTACAAAGATGTAAGTAACTTTCAGATGATTTCCCAACCAAAGGATCCAAGTACCCAGCATAGCCCCCTTGAGGGATTAAAATAATGACGTCATATTCTTAGTTAAATATTCTAAGTTAACGAAGAGTTTAATGAGTCCCTTGATGCCCTGATAGCCATGACGCCGGATGGGAAAATCGAAGAATTGTCCAAGAGGCCTTCTGGCTGCGATTGAGTGATCCAATCACATTGCGGGAGAGTGAAGGAGTAATGGGGCTACCTTGAATTTAGTGGAGCTGCCACGAGCAACGCGCGAGAAATGGGCGAAGGCGGTGCGACGCGGTATCTGGTACTTTCCAGCTGTTAGTGTCAATCGCCGATATACACACAATCCTTAGCAGTTTGCACGTACTTTGTTTCTATTTTCAGCTCCCTCGCCCGTCTCTCGCGCCGCCTCAGTCGGCTGCAGATCCATCACCATCAATTGCTTTGAAGACGGCCTCTAGGTTTTGGGACATGTCTGCATTGAAGATAAATATCGGCGGCCCCTCGCTGGGTTGCCATTCGATTTTTGAAGCATTACAACAGAAACAATCAACCTAGCCATCAATCACCACTCCACCTCACTCAAATCAATCCAGTCCAAGCCTCTGGTTGATCACCATCAAACAACTACGATATCATCTCTGAAATCACCAGATACCCAAACAAACAACATGTCCAAGTCTATTATTGCCTTCTTCGGTGCCTCTAACGGCTGCGGCAACTTTGCCCTCAAGGAAGCCCTCAACGCCGGCCACACCTGCATTGCCCTCCTCCGCACCCCTGCCAAACTGGCCGATCTTGCCATTGCCTACCCTAATCTGATCATTAAGGAGGGAAATGCCCACGACGCTGCGGCTGCGGCTGCCTGTCTGACCATCCCTGGTGACAACACGCGCTTTGTCGATGCCGTGCACTTCTCTATTGGGGCCTTTATGGACCCCAAGACTTTCAAATTCGCCGACCCAGACGTCTGCAAGAAGGGCATCTCGGCAATTCTCGAGGCCCTGACCACTCTGCGTATGAACCATGGCACAATCGGCAGCCCCCTGTTGGCCGTGGTGAGCACTACCGGCATCACGGAGAAGAAGCGCGACTTCCCGCTTGCCTTCTACCCCCTCTACCACTGGATGTTAGCGACTCCTCACGCTGACAAAAAGGTCATGGAGGAGAGACTTCGCGGTAGCTGCGAGCGATACGTGCTCGTTCGCCCCAGTTTGCTCATTGACAACGACAAGGAGGACGCCAAGATCAGAGAGGGCCTCCAGGATGTGGGCACCGGGGTCTTGGAGAAGGAAGAGGTCGGATATGTCATCTCGAGAGGCGCTGTTGGCCGCTGGATGTACAGGAACTTGCTGAGCGTGGAGGAGAGCGCTGTTAGTAAATTGGAGGGCAAGGCTGTTTCCATCACTTGGTGATTCTCAGGCATATTACCTGCTCTGTTTCTCTTTTCTCCCATGCCGGCGTTTGGGTTCATGATCCTTTTAGTAGCGGCGTGTTATAGAAATTCGCGAAATCAATTGGTTTCTTGGTCGATGGCGTTGGATACTTGTTTGCATATATCATAGATCTTTACAGTAAATACGAACCCGATGTTTTAAATTGGCCAGCTGCCCCAGCGGTGCATGTAAGATTTACCCAAATTTTATTAATTTCGTGTCTTTCATTTCAACTTAGCTGGATGGTAAGTTGGGCAGCAGACTCAACTTGGGCTAGTACTTCACTATAAGTTGTTATCCCGCAGGTAGAAACACTACATGTTTTTACTCACCGTATGAGATCTTCAGTTCAGTGCAAGAAGTGGTCTGACAAGCTAACAATCAGCCTGTTGCCTCGCCAATCTCAGTTGATTTTAGCGCGCGTCCGGCGAAAATAGCGACTTGGCCCGAAGGCAACAGGATTCTGTCGCCCTTTTGCTAGGCAGCACCTTTTAAATTTAAATAAATAATTCGAGGGACATTGGCCAATTGTCTCAGGAGAGAATTCAAAAATATTCACCTTGGGAGACAGCTTGCGTACTTTATTAAACACCACAGCATACAGGGACATCGCGCCATGGCACTGAATCTGACGGAACAATCCCTCCAGTCCCTCCAAACAACGAGGAACTCGCCTCAAATCGTCAAGCACGAGTCCAGTCACACAGAAGTTCCAAATGATTTCTTGCAAGGACCCTCTGTTCTGCCCGTCACATTGACTCACGTCCCCTTTGCCTCATCGCCCGTGCCCGAATACGACGGATGCTTCGCCGTGGTTCTGGACAACGTCATCTCCAGAGAGGAGTGCCAGGAGTTGATTCAGCTTGCTGAGAAATCTGCCACTCCCGCCGACAGCGACGCCGAGGGCTTCTGTCCATGGCGGTCGGCCATGGTGTCGCTCGGCCCTGGCGTAGAGGCACCGTCCAAGGGATACAGAGAGAGCGATAGGATCGTCTGGGACGAGCAGCAGATTACTGATCGTATATGGGCGCGCTGCTGTCAGGTCGAGGGGCTTCAGGACCAGCTCGCCCGAGTCGAGGAGGGCGGAGACAGCCGCGTCGGTCGGCCTTCGAGAAAGTGGGAGTTCCGTCGTATTAACGCGAGGATGAGATTCTTGCGATACTCTGTAGGAAACTTCTTTAAAGGTACGTAACCTCGAAACGAGCCTTGCCTCACAATAGCATAAAACTAAATGATGGCATACAACAGCGCATACGGATGGTCCTTTCTGGTACGAGGATGGGGAGAGGGAGTTCCAGACCCATTACACGGTGCACCTCTATCTCAATGATTCGGCTGAGGCGTCACCAGATAGCGAGCTGGTTGGAGGGGCCACCGCATTCCTCTCGCGAGATCGCCAGCGCCGCGTTGATGTGAACCCCAAAGCTGGGAGTGTGCTGGTATTCCAACACTCCAAGCTCTTGCATGAAGGTTCTGTGGTGCAGGCGGGTCAGAAGTTTACGGTACGCATGGACTTGTTGTACGAATGGGTCAATAAAGGCGAGAAGGCGGAGGTGAAAAAGAAGACCCCAGCCCGGAAGCACGTTGTGGAAAAGAATGGATCAAGTGACAGCGTGGCCAAGAAAGAGGATGTCAAATAGACATAGACTCTGTCTCCAATTCCACCACTTCTTAGTGTGTAGTGCGTAATCACAGCAAATCCACAACACCAGTGAAAAACTCCTCGACTGTCGTCTCGATCGAATCTCCGACCTGGCCCATTACTGTTGAAAAATCCTTGTCATGCATTCCCTTCAAGCTCTCCGACCCAACAAATTCACTATCTTCCATAAGCCGGCGCATGGTTGTCGTTCGATGTTTAGAGTTAGGAAGGTTATTGGATTCGTTCTATGTTGAGAGGGAATTGTCGTTCGGTGGGTGTCTCTGTGCTGTCACGATAAGCTCCGAGGGAAAGGTAGATTTATGCTTATGGTTAAGTATTGTGAGAGGGCAGGTTGTGTATTGGTGAAGTGTTGAGCGTGTCGTAGAATGCTGGTATCGGTGAAAGTGAACAGAAGCGCTGCGCAGAGGTAGTGGACATGGAGTTGATATGGGGCGAAATTGCTGTTAGCTGTCGGGGGGATGCTCATACAACCATCGAGCGAGGCTCTGAGCGAGTTATGTAGGCCTCAGCTTATGATGAAATCCTGGATCTTTAATACGGGGAAGCTGCAACTTCTGGGCGTAGTCTCAAGCCTATTTTGCTCGACCAGTGTAAGATAGTCGCATCATATGATGTGGTTTTTTGACAGCACGGCAAGCCTCGTGTAGTTCAAGGAGGCATTTCTGTTTTGCTTGTGGCGATTCTGACAAGTATGATCGAAACACAATATAAGTCGAATATGGAATCCCGTAGTGGCTTTGGCTCCCACGTGGACGTATACTTATTCTTAACGTCAAGAGGCCACCAGGCTGCGGTTGGACAATATCTGGGTGTGCCATCAGAGGTCCCGTAGTTATGATGTGCTGGCCGCCGGTCCCGACTTGGTATTGATTTTCTATGTCATTGCAGATACTACGAAATCTAGTATAGGAGGAGGCGAAAGATTCGCTTCAGGCGGTGCATTCGCGCGTGACCTAACTCAAGCGGCACGGTTGGCGATCATCTCAATATTATGAGGCAGCCTACTCTTACAAGGCAGATTCTTACCGCACCCCTTGAGCCTCAAGAGTGTGTATGATTCGCACCAGGGAATGTGTGGCTTGGACCAGCCACGACTCGTTCTCGCCTTGATTAATACGAAGCGCAGCCAACACAGGATCAGCCAACACAGGATCAGCCACTGCATGTGATCCAAGTCTGGCAAACGTACGCATGCTCAAGGAAATATTCTGATCGGCCGGTATCGAAGACCTACAAACTATCCCTGTAGCGTTCAATAAATCTGGGTTGAAAGCTAAACATTGCTATTGCCCTGTAAAAATCAGATTATCTCTTCTTTTAGGTACTAGACCGCGACAGGTCTGTATTCTTACGCGTCCCCAAAGGCCTTTCAAATTTGTGAGCAGGGGGCTCACCTCCTGGCAGGGTAGAGTTTGCGCGCGCATCTTCACCCTTTACAGTACCTACTCAGCGGGACATGTACGGACACTGTACTGGGACGTAGCAATTTGATTATCTTTGATTGTAGAGACTCAGAGAGCAATAACTAGAGATTCACGCCATCCAATGAAGGGCGACATTGGTCGGAGCGTCCTATCTCACATTAAAACCTCATTATTATCATCTACTAAGAACCCGGCTGAGGCCACTGGTCAATGTTAGTCAACTAGTATGAGGCAATTACGGAACTGAGTTGAAGGCGAGATTTGATTCGGAGATTCTATCTGGGAAAAATTTAAAAATTGACAAGCATCTAATCACCTCACGGAAGAACACCCCGACTACGAGGATTGAAAACCAGCTGGGCCAATTGTGAGCTGGATCTTAACGCTTATCTCAATGACGGAGAGGGTAGGTAATTGAAACTCTCACCGTCAACCGCTGTCGGTGGGCATGTTTGAGCAGGGATGACACCCTGGTTTCCAACTCTCCATCCGGCGCCAATGCACCGGCGCTCTTGGCCAACCTTCTTCTGAAACATCAGGTTCTGTTTTGAATCAAATTCAATCGTTTTAGGGCTGGAGCGTAGAGATACTGCCTCTAGACTTTTACCTGTTGCGACTTTCCTATGCGCATTGGAACTGGTGATAGCCGCTGTATTCTGCTTGAGGTTGCGGAGTAAATACTCAACCCCTTTTTCAATTTTTTTTTTTCTCTCTCTTCATCTTATTTTTTCCCTATGTAATCTTTCTGTGTTGGCGCCGTCATTGGAGATCAAATTGGCCCAGGAACAACACATGCCAAGGTGGGCCGGTTTCAGGAACAGGGCGACAACCATCACCATCGAAACAAACCCTTGTCCAGGGCAAACTGCCCGATTAGTCTTGCGGAACAGCACCACCGGAGCACGAAGATGGCCTCTGGGGGGGCATCTCTTCATCATTAATATCGCGAGTTTGTCCAGATGTTTCGTCTGTTCTTCTTCTTTCCCAGCATCACTCTCTAAGGCAGAGCTCTACATTCTTTTCTTGACTTTCCAGCCCTGGAGGCCGACTATCCACCTTTTTCACTCATTCACTACCGAGCGTCGAACGTCCGGACATCCCAACCAAACCACAACCAACTTCAAAATGCGTTCCAACACCTTCTCTGCCCTTGTGGCCGCCGTGGCCATGGTGCCATCTGTCTTTGCGCACTACAACTTCGAGTCTCTCATCGTCAACGGACAGGAGACTGAGGCGTACCAGTATGTGCGACAGACCACCAACGCCAACAGTCCCATCACGGACGTGACTTCCAACGACATCATTTGCAACGCTGGCGGCCTTGATGCCACCATCATGGCCAAGACCGAGACTTACACCGTCGCAGCCGGCGATGAGGTTGGCTTCAAGATCAACTCCAACCTTGGCCACCCTGGTCCCCTGGCCGTTTACATGAGCAAGGCTTCCGGCACTGCCCAGGAATACAAGGGTGACGGAGACTGGTTCAAGGTCTATGAGCTTACCTACTCTGCTCTCGCCGCTGATGGAATTCAGTGGGCCAGCTTCGTCAACGGTGGTATCTCCAACTTCACTTTCACCCTGCCAACCGACCTGCCCGCTGGTGAGTACCTCATGCGCGGAGAGCACATCGGTCTCCACGGCGCCGGCGACTTTGGAGGCGCTCAGTTCTACATTGGATGCGCTCAGCTCAAGGTCACTGGCAGCGGTTCAGGCTCTCCCTCCCCCACCGTCAAGTTCCCCGGTGCCTACGACGGAAACGAGCCTGGTATCAAGATCGGTATCTACTGGCCTGTGCCTACTAGCTACACTGCCCCTGGTCCCGTCACATGGCCCAACTCCTGTGAGGACCACACTGCCAACTACGTTGGCCAGACCAGCGATGGTGACTGCACTGGCGGAGAGTCCTCCGGCGGAGGCGACAGCAGCGCTTCCTCTGCCCCTGTCTCTACTCCTACATCCACTGTTGCTTCGCAGCCCGCTGTGACAAGCATTGCTTCGACAACTCCCGTGGCCAGTGTGACCACCACCCCCGTGGCTTCTGCCGATGCCACCTCGTCCGCTGCCGCCGTGGTGACGCTCTCAACCTCCACCTCCGCGGCCAAGCCCACCTCTACTGCTTCTCCTTGCCTCAAGCGCCGCAAGGCCCGCAGATCTTTCAAGCACTTTTAAATACTATGACAAACAATGTAAATAGGAAAAGGAGCAGCAGGTCTATAGTCTCCTTTCGTTGTAGTAAATCTAGAAACATTACATAAACTGAATACACTTTTACTTTGCTGTATTTTACCATTTGACCGTTCCATCTTGTGACGTGACTCATGGCTTCAATTAATTTTGGACCCTTACTTAACTCCGTTGAAGAATGATTCACGCTTGAATTTAATAGGTGAGTTTATTAGCTATCCCCTATGCTGGTTCCTGTCATATTATACAAATCGCTTTTAACCTGGTAGAGCTGAACGTAGCCGCATCCTGGCACCGGCATTAAGTTGGCTTCTGTCCCCCCATCTTGTCTTGGACAGTTCCTCCAATGCTGCCGCCAGTCGTGAACTGCTTCCCAATCGCCCCCTGCTCGTCTAATGGGCCACCAATCTTCTGTGCAGTTCCACCAATAGCGCCTTCAGCTGCACGGCCTTGTTAGTATGTCTCGCTAGGTCGGAAACGGTGCACATACTGGTGAAGTGCTTGCCAACGGAGCCTTTCTCATCCATGGCCTTGGGCTTTGTACCATACTGGAACTGGTCAGCAGCAAGTTTTGCGTCCAAGATGTTGTCAGACATGGCGACTGTACGAAGGCGTTCGAGTACTTGATTGTTTGAAAAGTAGAGCAAAGAACCGAGAATTTATTGCAATGGGCGACTGGGCTCCTCACCTATATAAACATGTCCCGCTCGAAATCCGCCACTTACATCTACTTGTCCAGTCTAGCCTGTATCCGGCCCGTGTAGTTCGGATCCATGACGCCATCATTTGCTCAGAACTTTGCGAGGTGTGGGAAACAGTCTTAGTAGGAGTTGGAGCTGAGAGACGTCCAATACGTATTGTACTTCTTACCAGTGCATTCTAGTGGCTCTGTGTGGTTGGTAGTAGGTTCACTCATGCTCATGTTATTGTTGTCGACTTTTTTATGTGGGGAGAAGGGGAACCATCATTGATATCACCATCAGAGAAACGGATATAGAATCGGATTTGATTTCGTTCTGGGCAAGAAGCGAGAAATGACCTAAAAAAACTTAGGAAAGAAGAAACATACCATAGCAGGTCTTCACTGGCCGTCAGTACGGACGATCTCTTTGAGTGTAGATGTTATGACGGCCGCCATGAGACGCAGGTTGAAGGTTTGGATAGCAGCCCCCAAGTTGCATTAGAGGCTGGAGGCAAAAATGGCCCCCGAGGGAGAAGGCACATGTTTCTTTGATGCAACATCATTGCTTGATCGGGAATACATTGGGCTTCCTGCAATCAGAAGTCTCTTGCACCTGTTTTAGATTTTTCGGATTTGGATGGCTGCCGATGTTACTATCATCATGCTAATCCAGGTCATCAAAAGCCCGCAGGATTTGCATATACGACTAGGCATTGGATGATAGGATGCGTGCGTATATATACATTGATCCTACTTGGATGTAATCATGTACTGTTGGATGCAACCCTACTCACCACAAGTTGCTCAGACTACCATCTAATTCTAATATCAATGCTGCAGTAGAATCCTAGCCAGTGCTCCTCACGCCTATTTCATGTTCTTTGCAGCTGACCAACAGAGCGGAATTTGTCTGCACATCGCCTTCCAGAACATCAGCCAACGCAATGAACAGTCCGGCATCAAGCATGACCGGGAAACTGATGGTGTCCGGCGCTGTGATGTTTCGCCCTGGACGTTCGAAATTACAGCCCTTGCCACCACTGCGGGACAATTCTTTGCAATGATTGCTGTCCTTGTATATTTCAATGGACGAGAGGCTATAATCTCATCATTCATTACCCCTAACACAGTAGTATCTATTCTCTCGACTGGATGCAAAGCATCCTTGATATCTGCAGCTTCTTCATGCATTAGTCAAGCGACCTGGGTGCTCTTTGCAGACCGACCTCGACGTCTCTTTGATTTCGAGATGGTAGCTGATGCTAGCCGGGGTGAGCTTGGAAGTATTCGACTTGTCTTCAGTAAAAGGTTCCAGGGAGGGTAAGCTACATTGCGTTCTCGAAGTAGTTCCTTTTCAGTTTCATTTCTAAAGGATACTTGTATGTTGCAGATTACTCGTGCGACTAGGTGCTCTTAGAACCATTTTCACTATCGCAATGGACCCTTTTGCGCAGCAGTTGGTTAAAATTACAAAAATCACAAGACTCGCAGCCTGGAGGGAGCATATCTCAATCTTTGCGATGTTCTCTTCCTACTCAAAGGTACTATCATAACAATTTTGCTTCATCAACAGGTATGGGCGCTCTCCTGATAGAATCGACAAATTACAATAGAAAGGAGCGGCTAATGATGAAATAGATTCCAAGAATGGAAATGTGCGCCAAGACAGCTCGCCTGGGATAGATCTCGCAATGAAGGTATGAGCAATGTATTAAGGGTTGATGACGAGAACAGCACTAGTCAGGTTGGAGTAATTACGAGATCGACCACGATATATCGCATGGACTGGGCCTGGATCTCCCTGCATAGCTTCGTTGCATTGGCCATTTCGTGCTTCTTTACTCTCACAACTATATCTAGAGCTCCGTCTGGATCACATGTCCCTATCTGGAAGACAAGCAGCTTAGCAGCACTCTTAAGAGGCCATTTAGTAGCTGATGTATTTCAGCATGGTCGGACATCAGAGAAATTGGAGAAGCAGGCAAAGCTCGCGAGAGTGAGCTTGCTGCAGGTTGGCCCTACAGATACTTGCTAGATGCCATTTGATGCCTCTTGATCCGACGTTGAGAAAACAAGTGTTATATACCATGGGATTACAATTTTAAAAATAATTTGATAGATGTTCTTTTAACCTAATAAATCGGTGGAAAGCCTTTTAATTAGATCCTTCGCATCGCTAGACAGACGGCTGAAGGTCAAACGCACCATAAATGATGGCTCTCCAACTCACCCAGGAGCCAGAATGGTGCGCTGTAGCGGTGCTTAATTATCTGAGTTGTAGGCAATGATCTACGCTTTTTAGGGCACTTTTTGGTCACGTGAGACTTCCATCAACTGCTCTAGGCAGACTGAAACAAGTTGTATGAGAAACACCCCAAAACTCCATGATCCGGCATCTTGACACTTTACGAGCCACATTTCTTGATACAATTTCGCTTCGGGCCGTGAAATATGACAGGTTTGTCGATTGTTCCGAGGACGACTGAGGGCCAGCGATTGCCGAATGAGCTCCTCTTGCACGTCGTCAGCTTTCTTGAACCTGGTAACGGTCAGTTCTTGGAGGCGGCCCATGAGACGACCAAGACCCTCCTGGCACTCATGCGGGCCTGCAAGTCAACAAATGCAGCAGCAAGCCCGATATTCGCCCGCCATTGCGTCTTCCTGGACTCTGAAGACCGCACGTTGAGGTTTGCCCGATGTCTGGCCCTTGCTGCTTCTGTGTCCGAACCCGCACACCAATCACCGTTCGGAAGCATTTCTGCCATTTTTATGGAATCGTTCCTGGAATTCAAAACAGAACATTTGGAAACTTTAGCGGTAGTTGAAAAAAATATCGAGGATGATCACACAGTTAATGAGGAAGATGAGAGCAGTTCATCCGATTACGTTCCCGAGCCAAGACCCCATCCAGAACTCAACGATCTCGCGGTAGCAGTCGCTGTGCACGATATATTTCTCGCCGTTGCCCCGACTTTGAAACGACTTAGTATAAACATACCGCTACGCTCCCTCTGGCCGGAAGACGACGAGCTTGGTGTCAGGCCTCTGCTGCGAAGCGGTTTCGAGGCTCTCATCAACCTGGAGGAGTTTGTCAGCGTACAGGACGAACTTTTCCTCATCACTTCCAAAGAGTTGCCCTCAGACGAGGTGGAGGTATGGGCAAATTATTGGCCAAACCTGCGTCGTCTTTGTCTGTATGATAAGTTTCTCGAGCCTGCCTTCTGGCGGGATGTGATGGGCTGTCCTCAGCTGGACTCCGTCATTCTTGGCCGACCGGACGGGAATCACGTCTCTGAACCAGCAGACCTCAAACGGGACTGGATTTCTACACTTGCAGGCCACAGGGTCGAGGGAAATGAGTACGGGGGAGCTATTAGACCGCTCACAGTGATCATATTCGACATGGACGGGCAGCATTGTTCTTTCACGGGATTTAATCCGGCGTGGGAGACTTTAGACCCCGATGAACGAATTAGGGTTCGTTATGCCAAAGCACCGCCCATCAACCCTGTTCTCAACTCAGGGGTCCCTGAGGATGAGGCTTCCCCTCGTGATTCTGTTCATGTTTGGGTTAGAAAGCATGCCTTTGCAGGCACGTTATGGTCTGAGACTGCAATCGAGGCATACAACCCATTGAGTAGAGATGGGTGAAAGTCTATTACCTGCGAGGCTGTTGCGCACTTGGTATTGATCAGGGTCTGAATTTTGTACGAAGTTCCAGGTAAAAGTGAATTGCAAGAACTAATAAGTCTCAAAGGCATGTAGTGGGTTTGTATGAACACCTTCACCCGTAATATAACAATAGATCTGGTCGTAGAGGTCATCTATGGCCGAGGGTTCGGCCCTCGGGTTCCTCCGGAGGGTTTCCACCGCGTGATACATCTCTTCACCCTGCAGGCGTTCTAATTCCACTTGACAAGCGTCCTGTGCACATCTCTCCCTAAGCACATCCCTTAGTAGATCGAATATGTATATCCAGCTGCCTTGGGTGAGGGTGATCATCGCAAGCCCGAGATATTGAATTTCTGGGCTCAATGAAGCGCAAAAGGCTCCGAGTTCCTGTTGAGTGAGCCTGATCCTGTGAAGGTTGACTATGATGAGGTTCCTGGAGCTTATTTGGCTAAGACTCTGGCCAATCTCAGACAAACGCGATTGAGGGAAGATGGCCTCTACGTCGGAGACAGATATGTCTAGTTCGAGCTTCACAAGCCTTCTACTAGAGAGCACGGCGTTGAGATACTGCGCGATAGAAATCCCACCAGGGTCTCTCCCATCCATTTGTCCCCTCCTAGATGGTGTTTGCTGTGATGGCCGGAAAATGGTATCCAGGTCTGGAATAATGAACGTTTCCAGGTTTTGTAATGCCATGTGCAACTGTCTCAGCACGAGGCGATGCGATATACTAGATCCGCCCCCAGGACAGAGAATGGAGGATTGGTAGTCTATCACCGGCCCATGAAGTTCAATACTGTTCACGGAGCTGCCTTTCTCTTTGATGGCGATGGGAAGATCCGAAAACATTGCAGTGTATGGTGCCATGTCTTCACGCTCAAGATATTCTTGGTAGTCCCGACATTCTGACGGTTTTGCTGGGCGGTTGAGCCATCGCGCAGTGTTGCGCGGGTCCGAAAATATGATTTCCGCCTCATCACCTATATTCGGACGTGTTTCAGTAAAACTCAAAGAGACTGAGCGAGTTGGATCAGAGACCAACTCAGCCAGAGCTTTGACTAGCAAGCCCTCTGATACTACTGGAAAGTCTCGCTTATAATCTATCTGATACGTGAGATGGCCAAAATTGAGCATGTCTCGATATTCACGAATCAGTGCGGGAGGCACCAGACCGACAATCGCCTCGCGGAAGCCGACACCTCTCAGGCTGGGCATGCTGATGAGGGGCGGCAACGGAGCACTGCCCAGAATGATGCCGCAGGCCATATGGCAAGCACGGGTATTGTCGTAAATTGGGGTTTGATGGGCAGCTTGATGATCAAGAGCTAATTGATGACACTCGTTCTCGACGCGATCAACCGTTTGTTCCAACCTCGCGGACTGTGCGTCAAGCATTCTATTGACGCGACTTTGGATGAAGCTGAGGTATTCTGTGTTGTCATAGGCAAAAGACCTGAGGCGGCAGCTCATGCGGATCTGGATAGCGCGCACGCCAGAGCTCATAAGAGGGTTACTTGCAATAGCCTCCACCCGGCTCAGAGATCTCATGTCGGTCCCTATACGGAGGATAGGTAGCAAGAGAGGAGTTGCATGACGATTAAACAGGTGACAGGTAAGCCGCGAATTCTTGAGGGCATTAAAATAAATTGGTGGGAGCCGATGATCGATATCATCTACAATGATTTTGTTTTCGTATAGCTCGGGATGCTGAAAATAACTGAAAATCTCTCTGAGAAGCTCGGTAGCTAGACGCGTGATGTGAGGCCGAGTGTCAGCGGGATCCTGGATCCCTGGGGGGAGACGGCCATTCCCTTGTTCAGTCTGAGAGGATTCAAAGGTGGAAAATTTCCTCTTGTTTTGGGCCGTGTTGGCCGGTGGTACATCAGCCATGTTGGCTTCGTTGGTCGCGCGCTGTTCTGAGAGGTCGAATCGCCGGTAGATGAACGGAATTGGCAGACGAGGTTTTCAGGCTCGGGGCCTGGCATACTTATGCTTATTAGGCCCTTCCAGCTGCAGCGGGGTAAGACAGTGAGGCGAACATGAAGTAGCAGTGGCTTGTTTACGCAACCAATCTATTGGACAAGGAGGCGAGTGGGCACGGCCATTGTGACGAGTCTTATTCCTGCGAGCTTCCTGCATGAGACTCGGCGAATGAGAAGACCAGATTTCACCGGAGCGTGCAATACGACAGTAACACGAAACAGCCACGTCAAAAGTCTGCTGTTCGGAGTCCGAGCGGAGGGTGGTAATATGCATGTCTCAACTGACAGTCACAGCAGCGGCTATCACAGAGGGTGGTATGCTTTATCATTGAGCCACGTCGCGTTGGCACTGTTTTATTTGAGATAAATATATGGTCACGTAATTAATGGCCCAATTATAGCTTAATACAGTGGTCCTGCCGGGATTAATCATGCTGAAACGGCCTGATCGCGCTGTTGGTGAGAACACCTCCTGTGGACCTTTTGTATAAGGCTGTGACACAGTTGTGTCAAAGATGCGGGGTTCGAGGAGACATAAAATAAGAATGTATTTATTGGATTGATTTCATGCCCTATCCTTGCGATCACGGACGGTTCTTATGTTGTAAGGACAGAAGACTAGAGATAAAAGGAGAAGGGATGATCTATATGTGCTCCCGGGGCTGTTCCTAACCTACTTCCTCATCATGATTGTCCATGGCAGGACTTAAACCTTGCTCAGTACATTCCACATGTCGATCACCAAGCCAAGTTGGCCTCGGCACCCGAGCTACACACACCACGACAGAATGCCTCATCCTCGTTCATCTGAGCGTTCGGCATCGTCCTCCTGGCTGGCCATTTCTGGTTGCCCAACTTGCTTTCTTCCTCCACATGCTTCTTCAGCGAAGTCCGGAGCACATGCTCAAAGTATTCCACAGCCTTCTCCATGTAAGGGTGTAGTGGCCCTGCCATGTAGGTGTCGCTGTTGAGGCCCTTCTGCGCATTGGTGCCTAGATATTTGTCTTCGCTCTCGACCTGCTTGAAGAAGTCTATTTCCATCTTGAACTCCTCATCAGTGGAGTTCTTGTTGCGGTAGACCTCGTATCGCATCCGGGATTCGGTCGGCGAGATGGGCTCGATGAACATCATGTAGAAGAAATGCTTGGACATGGTCACAGAAGAGTTTGGGAACATGTATGTAGGACTAGCTGTAATCCCACCGGCTTCCATGTCCTCTCCAAGGTGACGGATGTAGCACAGGACTGGCTCCACGTCGAACTTGGTGTCCTTCTGGATATGAGGCGCGATGCCCGGGTGCGCCGTAGAACAATGATAGCACTATAACCGGCAATTGTAAGTAGGTATGATGTCAATAACAGCTCTTGGATAGTACGTACCTCGTTGTAGTTTTCGACGAGTGTCTTCCAATTGAAAGCGCAATCATCCAGAGAAAATGTATGATCGTAGACGTAGGCATTCATATCATAGTGTTTGGTGATTCGTTCCTGGGTGTCGATGCCCTTGAACTGCTCTTCCCAAGTGAAAGCTGGCTTCTCAGATGAATCCAGGTTGACCCATACAAATCCCAGCTGGTCGATATGCGTGTGCAGCTTGTACAAAGAATACTCATTCTTGTCGAATTGGTCCTGTGGGACCGTATCGAACCGCGGTGCCTTTGCAAGGTTGCCCTTGAGACCATAGCTCCAACCTTCGCAAGTTAGCCTCCAACATTGATTTGATCAATTAGTGCTTCAGCGTGCAACTTACCATGATACTTGCATGAGAGTGTCAGCACCTTACCCGAGTCCTGGTGGACGATCGGGAAAGCTCGATGGCGGCAAACGTTGAGGAATGCATTGATATTCCCCTCTCGATCAGACACGACAAAGAATGGGTACCCTGCCACCTGGTAGCGGGCGTACTGGCCTGGGATAGCGAACTGGGCCTTGTGCGAAACAATCAGCCAGGTCTTGGAGAAGATGGCGCGGCGTTCAAGTTCGTAGAACTCTGGCTCCCTGAACCAGGACGAAGGCAGTGTTAGAGGGCCAGACATGTTGTTTTGTAGTAGTTTTGGGATGTTTGATATATAAAGCTGTCTGCAAGAATACTTTGGCTGACTGTGTATCAGTGATGGTTGGTTGTGTATCAGTGATCCTGGAAAGCTGCCTCTTCAGAACCTTATCTATATAGCAGTTGCCATGACTCCTGGCACATGATGAGGGGGGAGAAAGATGAGTGCTGGTTGGCTGGAGATCCGTTGAAATATTCCACTGGCCAAATTCAAATCCACGCAAGGTGATTGGGCCATTTAATCCGGGGATGGGAGCTAAGAGACACAACCCCAGACGCCGTCATGAGCTATTCCTCTCGGGGCGGTTCTGGGCCTTTTTATCCGGCGAGTTGGCCGTCCTCTAATAGGGCGATGTCCCCGTCGTGGGCCAAGAAACGAACGAAAGAGTCACAGCAGTTCTAACCTGTTCGAAATCTCTTCTCTCATACTTATCGAAACCAACAACCATCATGGCTAGCGAGCTTCGCACCGAGGGCACCTCTGTTGACAAGAAGAGGTCTGCCGATAACATTGTTATCAGTACAGCTAGCAATGGCGACAATCGGGTTACCGATATTGGCGCTGGAGCCACATCCAAGCTCGAACGAAACTTCAACGTCTGGTCACTGCTGTTCATGTCGTTCTGCACCAGTGTAACGTGGGAAGCCGTATCCTCTGCTGCCGCCCAGGCCTTGACGAGTGGTGGCAGCTCCAGCTTCGTTTGGGGGTTTGCCGCCTCAACCGTGGGAGCATTCGCGGTGGGCTTATGCATCTCTGAGTACTCGAGCATGATTCCCACTGCTGGAGGCCAGCACCATTATGTTGCTGAGTTGGCGCCCGCCAAGTACCGAAGGGTTCTCTCTTGGTACACAGGTTGGGTTACTATCTTCGGCTGGATCTTCTGTGCCACCGCTGGTATCTTTGCCACTGCCATGCAGATCCAGTCCTGGGCCATCTTGTTCAGTGAGGGTTATGTGTATGAAAGGTGGCACACATCTTTGGTAAGACGAGTCGATTACTATCTTGTCTTCGCAGCAGCTAACTTTCACTCATCAGATTGTCATTGGACTGGCCACATTCTACACCGTGTTCTCTATCTTTGAGATCAAGCGCCTGCATTATATGATGTTTGTAGCCATGTTTTGTCATGTCGTTGGGTATTTCGCTACCGCAATTTATTTACTGGTACATGTGAATCCCAAAAACACTGCCCAATATGTTTTTGCAGACTTCACAAATCTCAGTGGTTGGGAGAGCCCCGGAGTAAGTGAGATATGGCACCTTGGTGTGACTCTCCGCTAACACTTTACACTCCAGATTGCTTGGTCAATTGGCCTGATGAGCTCGGCGATTGGTTTCGTTGGCTGGGATAGTTCAGCTCACATGGCCGAGGAAATGGTCAACGTTTCAAGAGACCTGCCTAGAACTAGTGAGTATAACGAAAAGGAAACACGAGCCAAGATTTAAATTAACATATCCAGTGATTGCGAACATCGGCGTCAGCGGATTGGTGACATTCCCTTGGGTCATTGCAGTTGCGTTCTGTATGACTGATATACAGGGAATGGTAACTGGACCAGTCGGTACCATCAGCCCCTTCGCCCAGCTGTACTACAATGTGTCTGGAGGCAGTCAGGCAGTCACCATTGGCATGACTTGCATCCTTCCAGTAATGGGGTTTCTGGGAACCGGAGCCAGTGTCATATCAGCTACATCTAGGATCATCTGGGCCTTCGCGAGAGATGGTGCCCTTCCGCGCAGCTTGGCTGGGGTCGACGATCGACAGAAAGTGCCCGTTCGCGCCCTGATCGTAACATGCGTGACAATTTCAGCTCTCAGCTTGACATACATCGGAAACTCGACCGCGTACTACGGAATCAGCTCGGCTTGCACAGTCATGCTCTTGATCTCATACGGAATACCCACTCTGATCAACAGCCTGTGGGGGTTCAAGAACTGTTCTGTGCCAAGGGGGGTTTTCACGCTCGGACGTTGGCACCGCCCGATTGCAATCTTTGCCTCAGCTTGGGTCGGATACCTTGTTATTTTCTTCTGCTTCCCAACCACGCTGCCCATTACGGCTGCGACCATGAATTACGCAGTAGTGTTCCTCGCTTTCTGGATTGTTGTGGCTACAGCTACTTGGTTCATGTATGGAAAATCAAAGTTCTCTGGACTCCCGTCTGAGATCATTGATGAGTTGAACTAGATAGTAATAGGACCTAATTTTGCAGCTCATATACTGCCGCTTGATCAACCCTAGCACCTCTCAAGCATCATCAGAAGCTTCACTTGTGATAGATTGATTTCATTGGGCCCAAGTTTGCGACATGCGTCTACGAACTCCTAGGTTTTGCTAATACGTCACCTTGATAAGATGAATTGTCAAGATGTCCTCCTTGGTCTGAGTACCATCATCACTGGGTGTATCCTATGCCCTCATCATAACAAATGGAATCAAGTTCGGTTTTCCGAGTGTGAGTCGTATCAACTACTTCGAATAAGTGTGTGGAAGCCATGGCGGATTAGGAGGGTTAATAGATCAACTGGACTCCGCGGACTCCGATTATCTCCCAGCAGGAAGAACACTCTATTTGAGCGGGGTCTATCTTCATACCTGGAATGTATCATCTTATCTTATTACTTCCTTCTAGATCCATTAGTCTTAGGGACGACTAGCTGGTTTTAGACTTGATTCCCGTCAACAGTTCCGTTTTCCGAGCGACTGATGGCCGCATAGTGAGAAAGACGGCACCAGAATCATCCAGACCAATACGAACAGCAATGTTAGAAAATAGCGAGCCATCATTGGTAAGACCATGCCAGGGAATACCCAGAAGTTGGCCACCGCCAAGGAACCCCGCATATTCAAGCAGATACACATCTCGGTAGTGATTCCATCACATGCGGATACAACCCAACATCAGTTGATGGCTGCGGAATACCATTCCGAGATTTGGCAATCCTGGACAGCGGAAAAATGAGCCCAATAATCGAGAAAAATGAAACATCTCCCGTTCCTCCTATGGTCGATCCTCGCACGCGTGTTTCTCGGCAAAACAAGGTAGGGGAACAATAGATATGCATCGAGAAGCTAGACATGGCCGTGGTATAATAGGGAGTCTTCATCGTGTGGAAATCGGATCATGACATCGTTAATGCGTTCCCCACCGCAAATTTTGGAACAACTGATATCTTTAGGGATAATTAGATTAGACTTCGAAAGAGCTTTAACCGGTGATGCTTTCCGCCGGACAAATGTACTGAGCTACCCGCCAGCTGTGGTGGTGATGATACCTGTTCATTGTCAATGAAAGAGCCCATCGTGTGCTCGGGGGGCGGGCTAGACCCAATAAAAGCGAGAAGTTGTTGCAAAATTTTATGAGTAATGGCTGGCCCCTTTTAATCTACGGTCATGTGTGAGATAGGTTGGTATTCATTGTGTTGAGAAGTCGGCCCTGTCATCTTCAATCGTTGTTTTTAACTTTATACTTGAGCTCTCTTCCGTGCTAGAATGTTCGTCCGTGAGCTGAGCTGGATAAGCATCGTGCATATCTAAAGTACCTGGTATTGGCGCGGCACAACCCAGCACTCTGCATCTTACCCCGGGCGGATGATTCGTTTTCAGTCTCCCAGAGTGGGAATACCGCTCAATGTCTACTTAATTGAAGAATAAATAAGGATTCCCATCTTCTATCGTTGCTTCCCTATCATGAAGCTCGTTTTCAGTAGGAACTACATCCTGACTCGTCTGTTTTATCCGAGACCACTACTCTGCAGGGTCCCATCGCAATATGACATGGCAAATTGCGTATCTATCCAATATCCCAATATTCTCCATACAATGTTCTGCCGTGTTTTCCAAGCTCAAGGGTTCACTGTGAGAGGATTCTAGTAGCGAGGGTGCCAAGTCTCAGGGGTCAATGCTAACGTTATACTGGCAACTTTGAGTCCTAGAGACATAGCATAGTTTCACCAGTCAGAAGAGAAAGTTTACTATCACAATAATGTCAAAATGTTTGATCAGCTTATGCACAGTACATGTGACGTGTTGCGGCTTCCTTTACGTCAAGACTACATGTGCATGGACAGATTTCAAATCAAAGATGTGATCAACGCCCTGTTGCAATGTTACGACGTGCACAAAATTAGCAACACAGTTTTGGATATCAAAACAAACTCGATCTACTCTCTGCTAGGGGCAAATGATAAGCAGCGGCCGCCGGCACCAGAGATCGATAGGTATGTATTGAAGCAACTTGTAGAAACTCCCCGCTGCGCCTAAGTGTCATGTGAGCGTATCTTTACAAAGCATGAAAATTGGAGTATATTATAGTGAAGTTGTACTGGCGGCACCACGGAAAAAGGCGGCCGTGTTGCCACGACGTTGGCCAATGAGCCCGGGGAACGCGGCACGCTGTGCTGATGGTGTAAACTACTTCACATCTAGCCTGGCACCCAGCCGCGCGTCTCTAAGCATGAGCGGCTGATGGATTACCGGGTGGCCACACATCTACCGTGCCTGCAGAATCATCTCGGTATCTGGTGTGTGGCTATCTCCTGTTTGGCTAGACTCCACTTGAGGGGCGAGGCATATTTGACAACGGATGAGTGGCATCAGCCCTGTTGTAGCATCATGACACTTACCCATGTCACTGCATGGCCCTCGAATTACACTCATGAATCTTTTCTCCGTTCTGGGCTTCTTGTTTCGATTTGTTCTGCCTTTCCTCATCATGCTAGTCGGTATCTAGGCTCAAGACATGCAGCTCGTCTCACTCCACTCACGTTTGCCCCTTGTCTTGCCACGTCTAGCCGCGAACAGGCAGAGATGGTGAAACGCGCCTTGTAAAACGCCTGGTCCAATGGATGCGCATTACCGGAATGAACCAGATGCACCCGCGCTTGCAATGCAGGAGCAATCATCCATATTCGATACTGATGAAATATTGATGACGCTGGTTACGCTGGCATGGTTGCTTCTTCAAAATCTGGTCTTGGAACATTTGTCTCGACGAACGAAGCCTGCTTTGCTAATAGCTCACGCCGCTTGTTCACAACAATTATGAATCTGAAATATGCATATGAACATGAGGTACGTGCTAGTATTCAGCTCCAGATTGGTGTCACCACGCCAGATGGGCCTCACCTAGGAGCCAGGACGTTAAATTACCTGGTAAATTCGCCCAAGGCTGTAGGGAGCTAACAATGAATGGGCGACGATGGAGACCTGATGTGGGATTTTTAGCGGGCGCGGAGAACTTCCTTATCCCAGTTGCTCTGCGATGGTCGGGTAATTCCATAAAGTTTCACATCGAGGATTTGTCCTGGAAGACTTGGCTACCCTTGCCTGCCGCTACCCTTGCAATTGCTTGCCTTGCCACTCAAAAGCAGAGCAATGGAACCGATCGGCTGTGTGAGAGCGGGTGCTACAGGCAGCAGTAACATTCCGATGGGTAAGGCTGACTGGCTTCAAGGTGGAGAGCTTGAGAGCTTAGGTGGATACACCATCTGTCTAGTGCTTATTATGCTTACACCAAGCTGTTTCTTGACGTAGAAGAAAGCCAGCTGAGGTGCTCTGGGCGATCGAGTCCCACATGGAGAGTGAGCGTAGCTTGAGTGCTAAGGCCTTTGGAGAGGGATTCGGCTGTGATGGACTGACGCTATGATGATATCCGGAGGCAACCAAGGCAGTCCACCGCTCTTGGGACGTCCTAGCTGTGCCCTACGCCAGGGCCTGGGTCCATGCTGAGGGGCGGATGATCGGCTAGCTGGCCGATCTCTCAGCCCATCCACAGATGCTGGAGCCCGAGAAATGGATCAACGGAATCGGCCTGCTGGCGGTGCATTAGCCTGCGTCACATCAGCAGGGGAGGGCTCATTTCTCCAGAGGACGGCCAGTAACCACCATAAGCACTACGCCGCAGTTCTGACACGCTTTCCAATCAGTGCTGGCTCGATGTGCAGCTTGGAACCTGCTTCGCCTCTGCGTAGTTGGTGGACAGAGGACATGGGCGGCAGGAGAAGCAAAGAAGATGGGGGGACACCGCCATATTGGCTCATTAGATGACTGCGCTTTTCCACAGGCCTCGAATTCAGTCAATTCTGTAGCATTCGAGGCGCTGAAAATGCACATTGCCAACGCCTCTTGGGAACCCCAATGTTGAAGGTCATGATGGCATCAAACCAGGAGGAGAACACTACCGTTTCAAGATATCCCCCCTGGCGATATTGAGGCAAAGGCGGCCATGTTGCCCCATCACCCGCCTTCTCCCCCCCACAGTGAAGCTAAAAAGCAAACAGGAACGTAGAAACGCGCCAAAGCACCAGCGCTTGGAAAGCCGTCTGATCCGAGTCCCAGCCCGGCTTCTCAGATCCCTGCTGAGCAAGCTCAGCTCGCCCCTCGCTATTGGGGGCCAGTGCGTGGAGCCGCTTTGCACATTTGCAAAAGCCGAAACCCCTGCTTACTCGTTAAGGACTAATGATATGGGGTTGTCGTTTCTTCTTCTTGTAACCGTAGCGATGTGAGGAGTATATATCATGGAATTTATCCCTCGCTTTTTGTTGGAATGCTACCTCTGCATGGGTGCATCTGCCTTCACATATTCCTTCATTCTTTGAACCTGTCACAATGCATATCCAGTTGTTGTCGGTAGGCTTTGCTGCCTTAGCCAGCGTCCAGCCGGCTCTTGGTCAGACAACGACCAAAGGTCCTTGCCAGCAACTCGCAGAGTACCAGGGTCAGCAGCTTTCAAAAACGAATTTTGAATATCCCGGCGACAGGGTCAACATCCAGCTGAATGCTGAAATGGCCTACAACTGCTCCATCTCAATCCCCATTGTACAGAGCGATGCGTTGAACTCGATCGGGTACCTGAAGAATTACACCAACTTCCTTACCACTCTCTCTTATCTGAAAAACCCCCCTAAGGCGTATCAGAAGCCTGGTATTGACATCTTGGCCCGCCTTGACGCCGTCGAGCAAAACATCAAGAACAAGACATACAGCAACCAGTATGAGCTGGAAGTTGATGTCCAGTCAATCGTTCAAGGGACCAGTGAAGGTCACTACAGCGCCAGCATGGGTGGTGTGTTGGGTATCTTTTCGTGGACTCTCCCAGACTCAATAATCTCCCTATCAACCGATGGAAAGGCGCTGCCCCAGATCTATGCCGTCTCAGATATCATTCGCAACATCTCGAATCCATCACCAATTACCCAGATTGAAGGGCAGCCTGTGTACGAATATTTGCGCAGCTATCTGGAGAAATTCGTAAGCTCTGGCACTACGGATGTTCACGCAGACTGGAACGCCATGGTTTGGAGCGGTGTCCAGTCTTTTGGTGCTTTTGGCACAAGTATCACCTCTTCGTGGGCATACCGTCTTTTCCAATCGACTACAATCTACAACGGCAAATCTCTCAATATCACATTTGCCAACAACTCTAATGCCGAGTGGGTTTACGCCGCTGGGTCAGCGAGGGATCTATACGGAGACAAGTACACCAGCCCGGAAAACATTTACAACACCCAAGTTGCCAACACATCCAACACGTCTCCCATCAAGTCCAACTCCAAGCGCGCTGGCGGACAGTACGAGGTCGTCGAGCTCGGACCAACCAAAGATGAGGCTGAGAAGCGAGACCTTGAAATTCGACAGAATGCCCAGCACAAGCCCTACACATCCGTACCCCTTTTCAACTATCCTAAGAACCCCGACACCCTCGAGGTCAACTTTGGCATCGGAGGCATCGTTTCTGGGTATATTCTGAAGAATGACTCTATCGGCGTTTTGAGTCTTCCCAGCTATGACCGAGGATCCGCAGACTCTGGAACAACTGCTCTTAACTTCACCTATGCGGTCAATGACTTCATCACCAAGGCATCAAAGGCAAAGGTGAAGAAGATTGTCATTGATCTCTCTGGCAATGGCGGCGGTTCTACCTTCCTTGGCTATGCTGTGTTCAAGCTCTTCTTCCCAGACATTGCACCCAGCCAGCTTGGCCGGGTTCGTGCTACTTCTTACATCAACACTCTGGGCAGCGTCGTTACCGGCATCCTGGAGGACACGAGTATTCCTCAGAACAGCTCCATTTGGCAGAATGCCTACAGCCTTTCGACCACACCTGACCTTTCCAGCTATGAGAAGCTTGACATCAACGGCAAGACCTTCCCCGGATGGAAGGACCTCTTTGGCCCCGTCCAGAGCTACGGTGACAACTTCACTCATCCGGCCAAGTACAACCTCTCGAGTCAGTCTATCACCAATGATCTCGACTTCCCCGTCCCTGGCTACGGACCTGAACCCAGCTTGAACCTCCTGTCAAAGGATCAGCTGTGGTCCGGCGACGACATCATCATGCTCCACGACGGGTACTGCGCCAGTACTTGCGCCATCTTCTCCGAGATGATGAAGACAGACGGCGGCGTCAAGTCGGTTGCCGTCGGTGGTCTCCCCGAGTACGGAGCCATGCAGGGTGTCGCCGGCACTCGTGGAACTCTGCGCAGGGAGTGGGCCGACTTGAGCAAGTACATCGAGCTTCTCCGATCTGTCATCATCGAGGTGGGCGACCAGGCGGCCGACCAGCTCAAGGCATGGGGCACGTCGTTGAGCGACGTCGACAACCTTCCCACCGATATCCAGACATCGCCTCTCTACGTCAGCGGTGCCGTCAACGCCCTCGACATGATCCGCCCCTCGAGCCCAGATACCCCTCAGCAGTTCACCTACCAGGCCTCCGACTGCCGGCTGTTCTACACTCCCGATATGGCCAAGGATGTCACCGCCCTCTGGCGTGCGGCCGGCAAGGTCGCCAGCGGCGATCTCAGCGGTTGCGTCTCTGGCTCAACAGGTGCTCCTGGCGCGGGCCGTAACACGACCATCACCGACGACGTGGGCTACTCGCTCAACAAGACCTGGAGCAACGTGAACACGACCACGGTGCCCGATAACAAGCTTCCCGACGGAAGTAAGAGCAATGACAACAGCAACAGCAGCAGCGGTAGCAACGGCGAGGATGATTCCGGCGCCGCCAGCACGTCGGTTGCTTTCAGCGGGCTGCTCGCAGTTGTCATTGCTGTCGCTGTTGCTATCTAGATAGATTGCGCTGCTTAATGTTTTTACGTCCTTCATGTATGATGCTATATAGCCAATGAAATAATATTAATTACCTCAACCCAGGCTATCATAGTGATATTACTCCTTCAAATATGTCTAGATCAGCCAACAGTTAGTTCCATATTCCTAGCGCCGAAGTACAAAAGAAGGGGGAAACCGAAAACGATTGTAGCTGATCGAGCCTCTCTTTTCATTATCTCATATTGAAACAAAATAATCATCCCGTCAACAGAAATCGGTAATTGCAGGGTAGGTAAAGAGAAGGAGCTCTTTGAAGGACTGTTTTGTGGGGTTTACTAAATACTCTTACTATCTTAGGATGGAGGTCCGAGTCTCGGCGGCAGATAAGAAAGTCAAAAATCTGCTCGTTCATCCTAACTCTCAAGCAATTGAGGCCTCTCTCCCAGACAAAACATTCATCCCATGATAGCTCTCAAATCAGTCGCCCATGGCCATCACTATCAGTCCCGCTACAACGGACCAGATCCCGGCCATTGTCAGTTTTGTCATGGCGGGACGGACCAAGATGTTCCCCATGCTTGATCCGCGAATCCCGCTCCCTGATCTCGTCAACTTCCAGCAAACCTATCTAGACCACCCGGATGGTTTCTTTTTGACTGCGCATGCAGACGGTCAGCTGGTTGCTACCATTGCTTATCTGCCATACAATCATCGGTTCGCGCACCTCAATCTCGGCCAGGAGCGCATCGTCGAGGTTGTTCGCTTATATGTGAGCCCCTTCTGGCGCCGAGGGGGTCTCGCGTCCATGCTATTCAGCCAGTTGGCACATCAGGCTCGGAAAGCAGGCATTGAACGATTTTACCTGCATACACACCCTTTTCTAGCCGGGGCCGTTCAGTTCTGGGAAAGGCAGGGGTTCACATTACTTGATGTTGAGAATGATCCGGTTTGGCGGACAACTCACATGACAAGATTGTGCAAAGGTCTTTCTACACGGGAAGAAAATAGGATTGACTCGTCTATTCCCGGTCAGCCTTGGGACAAGATCAAAAATGGGTGGAGTAGCAGAGGCTTCAGAGATGTCGACGATACAAATGGCCGGGCGTGTCTCAACGGGAATAGAGGAAATCAGATATTATAACTTCAATCATTCCTTGATTCGGTTGTTCTTTGACTTCATATCATGCTATATTATGTATCTAGTGTAGATAGAAATAGCGCATATCAGCGAGATTATCATAGACCTGGCCGCCCCAATTCTCCCATCCTCATGTCGAAGAGTTTCAGCTACCCTATAGGTAATAGAAGAACACCTTTCGATACTCATTTCTCGGTTTGTTCCAATAAGAAATCCTTGTTCATTCATTACCAATCTTCATTCATTATTCAGCTATAGGATAGGATGGTGTAAGAATTTAAGAAACACTTACAGTTGGAAACTAAGGGGGACTCCTAGAACAAGACATGATAAGCTGGTTGTAGCAGGCATTACTGTATCAATTGGTACACGAATGATGAGGACTGATTCAAATGCCCCTTCATATAGGTCACAACAATTCCAATATTTTCTATTATTTCTAAAAACTAAATCCATATTTGCCTTACTATGGTAGACGCAGGCATTGCACACGTAATCCATTCGTTGGTGAGCTATTAAAGGGTGTCACGTGCAGACGACTTTGCAGACTTGATTCTCGCTTACTTAAGCACGAATTTCTCATGCCAGACGCCAGCTCGAAACTCCAGGGATGAAATTGCGTGATTGATCCTATGCTCAATGCTACCCTGTCAAGCCGCCTCTTCAATACGCCCAACTAGGACTGCATCTCGCCATTGGTGACCATGCGGCCGACTTCCATAGGTCGAGTCTCCACCAGCCGCTCTCCCCTGGCCTTCAGGGCGGTCCGGATACTTGGGAGCGGCAGCAACTCGTGCGAGCGCCGGTGCTGGCTCTTCAATGCCGCCAAGACAACCACGGTTGAATCCGTCGTGGTAGGGGCCGGGCCGGGCGGTATTGCGGCTGTCGGCAACCTCCTCGATAGCCTCCCTGGCAAGCTACCCCAGCTCTGGGTTGATCCTCACTTTGCTGGCGGCCGGGTCGGCGCCAAGTACCGCGAGGTGCCCAGCAATACCAAAGTCGCCCTCTTCCTCCAGTTCGCCGATGCCGTTGCTCCCTTCCGACAGATTCTGGAGAAGACCCCGGACCCCAATGCTGCCACTGTGCTGCAGAAGCTCGCTCAGGACAAGGGATGTGAGCTGGGGCATGCTGCTGACCTCTGCTTGATGCTTACTGAAGGAATTCGAGAGCATTATCCTTCCCAAGTGGAGCAGCATCGTGGCGAGGTCGAAAAAGCTGTTCTTGACGAGGTGTGTGGTGTGATTTAATCGCGATATCGATTGTTAGAACCTTCTTTCGTTGAACTGACAAATGGAAACTGTAGCAAACCAATACTTGGACTGTGAGTCTAGACGATGGCAGGGTCTTCACCACCGACCGCCTCGTTCTGTGTACAGGATCTAGCCCAATCACTTCGCCTCTGCCTATCCTGAAGCAATTGTCTGACAGCAATCCGGGCACGGCTCTCACCCCCCTTCATCTAGACACTGCCCTGAAACCCTCTCTCCTATCCCAGACAATTGATCCGTCCTCGCCGGCAACCGTCGGCGTTGTTGGCGCCTCTCATTCTGCCATCCTGGTTCTCATGAACCTGTACAAGATGATCTCCTCTGGCTCCCATCCCAACCTTCGCGTGAAGTGGTTTACCCGCCACAACTCGCTCCGATATGCTGAGCAAAAGGACGGGTGGATTTTGTATGATAACACGGGCTTAAAGGGCGATGCCGCGCAGTGGGCCCGTGATTCCCTGGAGCATGAGGTCTTCGAGAAAAGCCCTGTCTCCAAAGTTGTCACCAGATTTTTGACGGGCGGCGAGAATGGTGCTGAAGAGTCCATCTACAAGGCCGAGCTGCCTGGCTGCACACATGTCGTCCAGGCTATTGGGTATAAAAGGAACACTCTGCCGCGGCTAATGGTCAAGGAGAGATCAGAGTTCACCCCTCGACATCTCACCATTGAGCACGACGCCCTGACTGGGCGCTTTCGTCAGATAGACCACTCAGGCGAGAAAGGCAAGGTGTTTGTGCCCAATCTGTTCGGGGCTGGCATCGCCTTCCCCGAAGTGGTGACAGACCCTGCTGGCAACGTGGAGAGCGCTGTCGGGTTTTGGAAATTTATGCGATTCCTGAAGCGTGTGGTCCCGGAATGGGTGAGCAAGCCTTGAATTTAGTTTTCCATGTCGAAGCGAAGTTGAGAAGATGTAAACCGAATAGATCATTAGCATTTAGTTAAGAGCATGGGAGTAGTTATATAGAGGCTAGTTTTTCCCTCCCAACATCATCGGATAAGTTGTCTATACACTAGGCACCTCCAAAAAAGAGAGAAGGTTAGAGCTGGAAAATATTGCTTTAGCTAGTGAATTTCGACATTGAAGGGTTTCGCAAAGACAACGAAACAAGAAATACGTTCTAGTTTCCCTAGCCTTCGGGGTATACTACGATGCCAATACTAACGCGTAGTGAGGAAACATTTTCCATCGATGTACGTGTGCCCGCATATCATGCTAAGCTCAATGACAGACAAGTCCCCAAAACAAGGGACGATGCTGTTTCTCAGCCTCGTGTCAAGAAACATTCGGGAGAGAGTTTGAGTAGAAAGTTAAACATCAATGGAAGATGCCAGAGCCAGACAACTCAATGCAATGAATAGTCAAGAAACATTCAATGAGGAATTACAGGAAAGCCACGCGTGATAAGTATGCGGGGGCCACGTGCTGCTTCATTCCTGTGGGGTTATATTCCCCGCAACCTTTTGTTTAGTCGCTCATAATGCCTGCGCTCATCTCAAAATGAGGGCTAGAGGTCAGGGGACAGGGGCTGGAGTTTCTGGACCGAGGAATTTGCGGGGAAGCATGCAAACCATCTCAAGTCATCATCCCATGTTTTCCAGACCCGGATAGCAAAGTTTGCATTCGGTTCGATGGGAGACTGCGGTGATATCTTACCGTTTTACATGGACTTTCACTGAGTTCATGTTTTGTTCCCATAGATATCACTGACGACTGCGCGACAACTCTTCGACCGACACAAGCCATAAACTAGAGAGCGTCATCCCGAATCCTGGATGAACGAGTCCAGCGACAGGACGCAATAAGGCGGCCTCGACTTCTCAACTGTGAAGGCCCCCGTCCGAGGTCCATATGTCGTTTCCTCCGTCTCCTGTGACGCCCAGCCCCGGGGCTTCATCAAGTCCGAGCAATGGCGATAGTGTTGTCGCCTCACACATAGGCAGCCAAGGTGTTCGGCCGCCGCCTTCAGACGCTCTAAAAAAGAAGCGTGAACGCGACAAGGTCAGCCAACGCAGGAAACGTCAACGCGAGCGCGAGTATACAGTCAGCCTCGAGGAGAAGATACGGCGACTGGAGGGCGAGCTTGCCAAATCTTCATCGCCAACGGCTTCGAATCATGACCCTTGGGCTGCTCGCCCATCAGGCTGTTGTGGCAGCCACAATCATTGCGATCGCCAGGACGACGAGACACAAATATGCATGAAGCAACCACTCGTGCTGGGGGAAGACGGCTCTGCGTCTATCGACACCGAGGCTGCACTGTCCTCCATGTCGCAGGACTCTGGATTTAGGCGCTACTCTGTGCTTTTGGATGCGGCGAGCGAAGATGTCGACGGGATCAACGGCCAGGACTCTCTATCCATTCTTTCCATGGAGTCACCACGTACCAAGAGCTCCCATTCTTCGTCAAGTTTCGAGTCCGTCCCGTTCGACGTATTTGAGAAAGTGTTGGGCGTGCCAGAATGGTCCCGAATACCTCTGCACAGTTGGTCACTTGGAAATACAGAGCGATCATGGGTGAGAGGGGACAAATTACTGCCATTCATCCAGACGATGCGAGCGGATCCAAATTCAGAATCGACGTGTCCTCCGCAGCCTGCTGTGATAGATATTCTTTACGGAGGCTCATCCCATAACGTACTGGCGAATTTAATCTCTACCGAAGTGGCAAAGGAAGCTTTACTCCCACCAGAAAAGTTCGCGATAAGTTGGGCACTGTATCTTTATTGTAGAGTGAGTCTTCCCTGTTGGCTATGACTAACTATCATCGGATCCTCTAGCAAAGAATGAACGGTTTACTGACGCCTTTCCTTGCCTGCAGTGGATTATTTGGCCCTCGGAAAAGACATTCCAGTACCTCCCAAAGCACTTTCGCCCAACGGCACGACAGCTGGCAGTACCACATCCATGGTGTATCGACCTTCTTCAACATCCTCAGCTTCGAGATAGGCTGATTACCCACGCCAACGAATACGATGTTGACGAAGTAGTAGGCTTATTTCTTATTACTCTTCGTCTACGTGGAGGGTTCAATAATAATAATTTCATCACTCGAGAGAACGGCGGAGATCTGCAGATAGACCCGAAATTCTACAAGCAATTCATGACCCGGGAGGGCTGGGGGATCCTAGATAGATTCTGGGTACAGTATCCAGAACTTGTAAAAGGGATGGATCCGAGATGGAGGCTTCGAGAAGAGCATCTACTGCCCCTGTAGCTGTTCATGGGATGTGCTATGACATCATGAATTTTTCTTACGGCGCGCTGTGGGTAGTATCGAGGGATACTGGCAAGTGTTTTGAGCGAGCGTTTGATCTTTTGTTCTATCTAGGGTGAAAAATTGGTAGCCAAATGAAAAGACTATTGATTGTTTAACTTTGACATTGAAAAACCTAGATAAGCCGTTCCAATACTGACAGATCTTGAAGCAGGCCCAACGGGACATATTTTGTCATGTTCTGGAGGAAGGGGGACCAGGTGGTTTGGATGGATGTGCAAATCAGGCAAACATCGGGGGTAACCGATCAGTTCCGACTGTTGAAATCTTCCTTGGCGCGGGGAACTTGAAGCCTCGGCAGACTCCATCACGGAGCAAACCCCGAGACCCCGAGGCGACTCAGCTTGAGAGGTGGTGCGGGGGAGGCGAGTCAGCGAGGACCAGGGTTTCATCGTGTCTACTAGGCTAGCTTAAGTGCTACTTTGATGAGTCTGGGGATAATTCTTACTATAATTGGTACAGACTTATGAAGATCTTACCAAGTGAGGTCAGTCTACAGCAGAAGATGCCCTCTATTGGAAATTCCGCCTAAATGGTTGGCTGATCGTTAGGGCAGCTTCCAGGGGGAGACTGGTGACAACTTCCAAGGGTAGACTAGGGGCAAAGGAACCTACAACCATAGCTCAACTGACTGACTCTTGGTGATCTCATATGGTCTTTTTGAGGTGAACTGTAGCTTTACCCGTTCTGTGTTCTTTGGGGGTAGATTATGGTAGAACACTCACCAAAGCTCTCTCAGTCTCGTTCGGACTACCAATGGTGCTCTCCACGCCCTGATGAGTATGGCGGAACATTGTGTGCATCATTCTCGTCGAAATTAACCTCGGTCGGATTTTACTACACGATGCGGAGAATGACATGCGAGGGAGCCGCAGTAATTAAGTCTGCCAATATGGCATAAAAAAGTAGCTAATTTGAGACAACTCTTGGCTGCGAGTCAGCTCCCTCCCTCCGCTCTCAGTGACAACCAAGAGTGACATCTTCGCCTTCTAGTGTGAATATTACCAATAAGAGGTGAATCAGGTGATGAAGATACATAGTTACAGTACCATAGGCAAAACCAACATATATTCAGCGCATTTGCCAGTCCCTATCAATACTTGAATCAATGAGTAATTTGACAAATTCACCTCCACCGTGGCCAAAGAATAACAGTCTCAACATTATGGAAGCTATGAATCACACCATATCATCATCGCTAGGCACAGCCTTTGAGAAAATCAATCGTGTGACAGACACACTTGGCATCCCACAGTCTGCCTTTGCCGGTCTTACCAACTTCACCTGGAAATCAAAGAAGGGCGCTGCCGCCATCCTTCTTGGCTACCTACTTCTCGTGCGTGCCTTGAGGTTCCGCCGCGAGAATGCAGCCAAGAGAAAATTCAAGTTTACGGATCGGGCCAGCTTGGCTCGAATGACCACGGCCGAGGCTCAGCTCATTCTCAAATATCTTGCCACCCTTGAGATGCCACAATTGCAATTCCTCAGCCTGCAGTTTGGGTTATTCAAGGTATTGATATCTCCTTGATAAATACGGATAATGAATCAGTACTGACTATGGAGCCTCAAGACATATGGTGTCGAATCAATTAGCAAGTTACTCGTGGCAACCCGAAACTTGGCTGATCCTAAGAATAGCCCCAAAAGGTGAAAACCAGATATGGAAGAAGCACATACCTAGATGAATGGATGTCTAATCGTTCAAATCAGATATGAAGACACTGCGGTCATTATCAACGAGTTCATGGCCTGGGATCCTTCCGCCGAGCGAACAGTCAAAGCAATTGCACGAATGAACTTTCTTCATTCCAAATATATTGCAAGTGGACAGATCTCTAATGACGACCTCTTATACACCCTATCGGTCTTTGTCATTGAGCCAGCTCGATTTGCTGAGCGGTACGACTGGCGACCCTTTAACGATATGGAATATTGTGCTCTCGGGGTCTTCTGGAAAAGCATTGGTGATGCCATGGGCATCAACTACCACGGCTCCCTCCCAGGCGCAGAAAACGGGTGGAAGGATGGAATCCAATTTGCAGATGAGCTAACAGCCTGGGCAAAAGCGTATGAAGTTGCTCAGATGAGGCCTAATTCCACCAGCCCAAAGCCAGCCCATGCACTTTTGCCCATCATCACATACTGGATCCCTTCGTTTGCGAAGCCATTTGTGACGGAATGTGTATTGTCTCTCATCAATACTCGTATTCTGGAGGCGTTTAAGTAAGACCTTGATGTGCTTCCAAGTGTGGTTATAAACTGACATGTCAATAGGCTTCCGGAACCTAGCATCACGGCGGTTGCCGTGACACACGGCGCTCTTGTTGCGCGACGATTCGTCATTCGACATTTGATGCTCCCCCGCATCTTTGAAATCAAAATACTTGGTGACCAAGATCCATCCACCGGTCGTTATCTTCTTCCCCAGTCGCATGGGAATTGGCCATTCTATGTCAAGCCTACCCTTTGGAACCGGTGGGGTCCAGTTGCCTTGGCGATAAGATTATACGGAGGGTATGTACCTGGAAATAAGCCCACTGAGTTCAAGCCTCAAGGATACACATTTGAAGACGTAGGTCCTGTAAATAGAGCGAATCAGGGGAAGGAGGAGATGGAGGCGGACCTGAAGAGGCTGAGAGCAAGTAAACGGTCCGGTTGTCCCTTCTGATCTTCATCCAAACATGATGTCGGACTTGGGTTACAGTCGGCATGTCATGGGTCTCAGACCATGACACATATCCCGCTGTTTTACGTTTGGATCTCTACCATGTGAGAAAAGTGGTTTACTGATGTTATAGAAACAGCGGCTTCTGGGGGTGAACCGACTCCCTAACTCTCCACTAATCTCACTCTTTTCACATTTGCACTTAACCATCGGTCATGGCGGAATCATGATAACAGTTCCCCAGCTTGGACGTGGTGGGCCTCGGCCGCGTGGACAAAACTTTATTCTTGTTTGCTCTGATCTCTATGGACTATCTTGCTTAGATTCCTAGATTCGTTGTTTCTTGCACCATTCTGGGGTTACTTCCGTCCTCCTCCTCCTAGCCAAGAGTCCGGATGCCCTTCGATCATACTTAGTCGCATTTACATCTGTCACATTTTGTGAGACGTTGTCTATTAGCTCAAGGCTGGTTAGTGAGCTAGACAGATATGTGGGAGAGAATAGGAGATTATCAGAGCCTCTAAAAATCGGCATTTCTAGCATACAAACAGAACAAAGAAAGAAGATGTCCTCTCTCCTTGGTACAATCCTGTTTAAGCATTGCTTAAACAGGTAAGAATATAGTCAATGCAAGACGTACGTAGGGAGGACACAAACAAGATCTTGTTGTTGTTATTGTTTAACGCCGGTAGATCCCGAAGGCAAAGGGCGCCTATCTAGACCTATGCAGCAAAATAACTAAGCAGTACACACATATTTCGGCATAAACAAATTGGAAAGACAAAGATAGGATATTTTGAAAAGAAAATAAAGAGATCAAATAGAAATCTCATTGAGCATATTCTGAACTAGCTATGGGTCTAAATTTCCTACGGCTCCCGCAGAAGATAGACAAATGCTGCTTTGGAGTGTGATCTTTGAGGAAGTTTTGAGGGACTAGGCGCTTGTAGACCCTAGAACTTCATCCACCAAGGCCGAGAGGCGGCTCTCCTGACACCGTTTGCGTCGTCCACCAAGGCGCGGGGCAACCCTTCGCATATACTCAAGGTCAGGGATTATCACATTGAGCTTCTCCCTGATATCCTTCAAAGCCTTTTTGGCGTTGACTTCGGTGATATCATCAATGAGTGTTAAGCAATTTGTACAGGCAGCGACAGAGCCGGAGCGCTTGTCCTTGTCCTCTACAATGCTCATGAGCACGGTCAGCTCTGCGTCGAGGTCCACAAGCATCGATCGCATATCAGTATGTTGATTGCGAGTCATGATTGACGGCGTAATTTTGATGTCGGACATCTTGTCAAGTTTTGTGTAATCGTATCTAGTCTTTCTGGAGAGAGAGCGTTTTGCAAAGTGAGAATACCGGCGTCGAACTTGTAAAGTCAGTTGATGGAAGTACTGTTGGAAAGCGGGAGAGGAGGTAGGATAGACAGCTCGTATTTAAGCAAAACTTTTCACCTTCTACTATGAAATATTATGATGAATCGTCTTCGATGCCGTCCCCTTCATTGAGTGATTCACGAACATTTTTTGTCTGTGAAGAGAGATGTCACTGGCCTTTACATCGGGCCACAATGCTGGGGTAAACTGAATCACATACTTTGAAACCAAAATTTTTCTTCACACATTAAGTCTTTTGTTCGAGATTAGTGCGAAAACACGTAACTTGAGATTTTTTTCAGCAGGCTATAAACGAGACAAAGTCCGTCTGTCACCGAAACGGCGCGGAATGCGCAATATGGCACCTCGCATTGATGCTGTTGAATGAATTTGTTTTTCAACTTTTATTATCTTTGATTACTACCGATGACACCGACAGATCTAGGATGTCACTAGTCTGCGATGTCATAGTAGGATCTATAGTTGTGATAATCTAGGCATCATTGTGTCATGTACACTGGGTTAGTTTTAGAAGAAAGGGCCGTGCTTCGTTGTTGGAGTTACTCATCATTTTAAAACGCGTCCTAGATCACTCAAGGGACTCCGAGAACATTCTATTTGGTTACCCCAGCTTTTGAAGTGGCTACGTACAATCGACTGATGTTCGATCACACTCCTCGGTTTTCCCGCAAGTATGTATTGATGCACAACAGCTAACTGGAGTGAATCTATCGAGCTAAAACTATGGGTTCTTATCTTTGTATGTTGCAAATAAAGCTTGCAAATATTTGCCGACTAAAAACCTTGTGGGAGATCCGCGATTGCTCGGGGTGTTGTAATATTATTTGACCAAACCACCAAACTGTGTAAGCACCCAGTCAAGCCAGTTCAGTGCACCGACCTGGATCATTGACTTTCACAATGAGTGTCATTGACCTACTCAATAGCGCACGGTGCCTGGGTTTGTTCTTTTATATGGGAAAGCTTGCTTGTCTGATATTCTTGAACACACGCTCTTTGTGTCAAGATAACGGGGTGAAACTGGGATCGGAGACATGTATAATGGCAAGGAGGAAGAGCAAATGTGTGCCACGTTATAATACGATACCTTTTCGAGTTGTACAACAACTGGCTGTTCTCTTTAATAGTCTACTCACATGAGATACATGGCTGTAGTCTCAGAGACATGGAAAAGACTTTGTTCAGCTTTCGTTCAGACACTTCAAGACCTCCATCTCGTCACATATTACTGCTTGATGAAGTTGAACTAGACGAAATAAAATTCTTGGTTAATAATAATTAAACTGCTAAGAATAGTTTTCTGCATCCATGCGGACCCCGTGGGAAGTCAAGCAACCATTCCATTGTCTTTTCTATCGTTCCTAGTATCAAGCCAATCGCAACTCCCACCGGACTGCAGGTAGAGAGACGGCCGGACGCTATCGTGGGATATACAGGAGAGAAGCATCCTTATCATTAGGCTCTGGAAGGTGATCTCTTCACAACGGCGATAACAAAACTTCAGCCCACCACTTCAAAGCCTGGGAGCTGGAGCTATGTGAGAGATTAGCACAATTGTGTGGCGGGTCATTATAGAGTTTATCATTCACCTTCAGCAATATAAGTCCTCTCCGTTAAGCAGTATGTAGTCACAGGAGCCTAACTGAATATGATATGTTGACACAAGCAACTTAGGAAATGACCTTGTCTTGTCACATATCTACATTTTTGAGGCATTGATTCTATAGGTAAGAGGATGAAATACATCTTCCCTCACCCTAGGGAGTTGAAATACTCAACTGAGATAGATGCAAACCGCCCATTCCCTTTAAATGTCATCGATCAAAGGACTCAACCCCTGAGCAGTGCCAATTTTCGCTTCGAAATAGAACCTGAGCCGCTCCACCAGCTTGCGATCAGCCATAAACCGAGCAAACTCAGTGGGGTTAGTTGCCTTCTCCTCGCTCAGCTTCGGGAATCCTTGCGGTGCAGGAATGTCTCGGCGAACGCTCCATCGCCCGGGCAGCTCTTGGTACTCAGGGCTAAGGAGGAAGTTGTGGAGAAGCTTGGCGCCCTCTGGATGAGGCGCGTCTTTCAGGATGGCAGCAGTCTGAGGCCAGCTCACATACTTGCCCTGTGTGGGGTGGGAGAAGTTGAGTGGCGCTATCGGAACAAAGCCACCAGAGGCGGCGAAGGAGGCGGCCGATGTGCTGTTCTCTTGGCTGATGAGGGTATATGGCGTTCTTGTGCCCCGGACCCAACGCGGCTTCTGAGCAATCAAGGCATCTAGCCACTTCTCTCCATACTGCTGCATACTTCGAAGTTGTTAGCGTTACTGGAATGCGGTGCTTCTGGTTGTGGTCAGGGAACTTACATCAGATAATGCGCGAATAAGACTGCATCATCATCGTTGGGGTAGGTCAAGACGAGTTTCTCTTTGAATTCAGGCCGGAGCCAGTCCTCCCATTCAACCGGGGGGTCAATGCCAGGGAGCTTGTTTGTATTCCAGGCTCCAGACCAAAAGAGGACGTAAACACCGTACCAAGCCGCCGTTTCATCTCGGAAAGCGGGCTCAATTTGATCAAAGCCATTGGGAGCATAATTTAGAAGTGCACCCTGTTGGGCCCATCGAGGGTAGTCGTGAAGTGTCTGGAGGATGACACTATCGACGTACACAGCCTTGCCTCCAGCTGCCAGCTGTTGATCAATATATGCGTCGTGGTACTTAGAAAGGTCAACCGTCAGGTTGAGAGTTATACCAGGGAATTTGGATTCAAATGCATTCTTCAGGGCATCTTGGCGGCCTTTCTCGTCTCCACCGTGCCATAGGGTGACCACGTTGCCCTCAGCCAGTGCCGCTTTGTAGATCTCATCAAGTGAACGAGTCTCATACTCGACGGGAATGTTGAACCCAAGCAGTTGATCATAAGCCCGAGCGAGGCAAAGGAAAGTGGGGAGGATAGACAGGGAACCGATCATGTTGGTAAACGTCTCAGCCAGACAACGAGGGATGAAGATGGCTTTCCAAAGTTTTTCAATTTCTTTAGTGCTTTGTAAATTTATATATTTTCCATCTTGATTACTCTCATTTTTTTCTTCTTGGTTAAAATTGCGTGGTTTCATAGGAAGTAACTTCATCCCACTCGCCATGACTAAGAATCAGCGTAGCAATGCTCGTCTCCCACATTGCCGAAGCTGGCCATCCCACATCCTGAAACTGAAGAAATATTCGTGATGCATGAGCTTAATGACGCGGTCCACCAACTTTGACCGCTTTGAGTAGGTCTTCATACAGAGTGGCCAATAAGTTTGCCCTCCATCCCCAAACCCCAGGGGAAATCTGTCTTGGCACAATTCAGGTCAAGATTTCTAATACATGTGTAATATGATGCTGGAAGCAGAGAGACACGTATGCTATCTCCTGTACATCAAACTCGGTACCCTTCCAATCATACCTCATGCTATAAGGATCGTGCATTTTCCTAGGTGGGTGGCAAACAGACGAGACGCTTTATAGCACCACAACACGCAATGTATTGACAGAAACCTCAAGACCTGGGCTGCAGATGGTTAGCGTTGGATATGATATCCATTGAACCCAATGAGTAGAAAGCACTGAAGCCCTAATACGTAAACGAATATTTGGTAAACAACGAAGCCGTTGAAAGATTACGCAAGGTGGGATATACCAACTGCTTCTGCAGCTTTTGTTGTCTTTATCTTTCTTTTACCAAAGTAGTATGCCAAAGTCAGACATCCCGGCTGTATCAAGTAAGTCTCTACCACAAGAGGCCGTCAGTAGTCCGACTGGACCAGCGCCTAAAATAAGAATTGGGATATCAATCGAACAAAGGCTAATTCAAGGCGAGTTGCGTAGCGGGTTTTCATTTTGATTAGCGGTTGGTAAGAGTTCATGAACACCATTTCGGCGAACCAAGTAGCCTTGATAGCAGAGCAGGAACACCCAGCTTGTCAACACATCCCCATCCTAGCTTGTGGTACTCATTATCATAACTTGTGGTACTGATTGATCACTCCACAAGCTCTTGTGTGGACGAGTATGAACCCTTGGTATGGCTTTTGTTGGATCCATCGTGATGCAAAGTATCACAACGGGACTATCTGTCGATAGAGCGTGGTAATTCTCCATGTACTTTATTACTATAAGCCTCAGTAAAGATACCTCCCGGGTTTTTACTAAGGGATGTAGGAACGATGGGCTTGGTACATAGGGGGTCTGCCGAGAAAGCGGGTTGTTGCGTAGGTAACAAGAACACGCCACACACATCAATTGAGTACACACACACCATTGACCCAAATCAGCACTTATATTAGCCGTATTTGTTTGAATCCAACAGCTTTTCCGGTGGAACGAAGTTCCAATGGCAGCTCCCTGTACTCCCGGAGGAGCTCCTCCGTCAATTTGCTCCACAAACTGAAACACGAAAGCCAATTGGCCACAGCTGGTACTGATTTATTGACGGAGCTCCCTACGTGAAGAACAACGTTCCAAGAGGGCGGTGACGTATAGCTAGTTGGTAATTGCCTCAGTGACAGAATTAGTTTGAAGATTTGTGATACTGGATTTAGGAAAAGCTTCATCGAAAAGCAAAGACAACTCATAGACAAGGAGAATGGCGTCAGCAGCTAGTTTCAAACGTAAGTTGATCATTTACATATGCATGGGGACTGCTCCCGCGCTGACCCTTAATGAAAGGCCTCGTGCGTTTTGTGGCAAAAGACTCTACTCAGATCCTCATCGGCCAGCCTGTGAAAGAAGAACTTGATATCGGAATAACTTTACGTCAGGGACAAGATGTCGTCGTTGATGTGTTCTCTGGGCTTTCGGTCCTTAACCCGGGAGTTATGACAGGAAAGACGGAATCTATTGGTAGAATTCTATCACCTCTGGCTCAACATGAGGTTGGCACTATACGCTGTATTGGATTGAATGTAAGAATGAGGCCGCACTTGGATACAGCGTTTCAGCTACTGGATCGAGGCAGTGCTAATCAGGGCCTACAGTATAATCAGCACGCAAAGGAGGTCGGGATGGAACCTCCATCCATTCCTACCCTTTTTATGTGAATTACTTGCCAATATTGATATACACAGAATACTAACGTCGTTAAATCAGGAAACCAAGCACTGCTATTGGAGATCCTTGGCCTGCTCATACCATACTCCCCCGCTTAACCCAAGTGGATGATTGTGGTGATTTCGAATCAGAGCTAGCAGTCGTGATTGGGAAACTGGCCAAGAATGTTAGTGAAGCAGAAGCCATGGATTATGTTCTAGGATATACGGCAGCGAATGATGTTTCAAGCCGGACTTCACAGCTAAATCAATCCCAATGGTGTTTTTCAAAGGGATTTGATGGCTCATGTCCCATCGGCAAGTATATCCAACACTACGGCCGTGAGTATAGCTTACTGACTGCTCGGGTAGGTCCAACATTGGTATCAACATCTATAATCCCAGATCCGGCCAAACTCTGGATTCGAGGATTGAAAAATAACAGAGTGCTCCAGGACTGTGGTATCAGGTGTGTCTCTTAAGTTTAGAAACTCTGTCCATAGGCCGAGCTGACACAATAGCAGCGATTTGATTTTCAGTGTACCAAAATTGGTCAGTTTCTTGTCTCAAAGCACGACGCTACTACCTGGTACCGTCATAATCACAGGAACGCCAGCTGGGGTTGGCATGGGAAGGAAGCCAAAGGAGACACTACGTGACGGTGACGAGTTTGCGATAGAAATCCTACCGCATATCGGGACTTTAGTTAATGTGTTTGTAAACGAGTGAGACTATAGGTGACAAGGATGCTTGCTAAGGAATTCCCTTTGATATATGCATGTTGATCTGAACAAGTTTTGTAGAACCTTCTTTCCCTTGCAACGGCCTATCATAACACACAGAATTCACCGCAATATAATCTTTCCTATTCTAGTCATCGTTGACTCCATATGAATATGCTTTTGCCCGCCCACTCTCGACAAAATGAAGAACGTGGCATTTGTTCGTTGTGGGCAGACAAGTAATATATCGCCATCCTTATCTTACACTTGCCTGGCACCTGACTGATACTGCATTGTTAGACAAAGTGATGAGTGAATTTGTATAATCAAGGAAATCAAGGATAGATCGGCATCCACTCTACGGTAAGTGAATTCAAGACATAAAATCGCATATGACGGATACAGAACCCAAGTTCAAAAACAGATAGGTAGAGGCTCAGCGAGAGGACGTTTGGATGGCGATGCTCCTACACCAAGATATTGAAACAGATAAGAAATGGAACTCAATATGTATCATCTCTCAAAAAATTGCTGCGTTATCATATAGCCCGCGTCTTTGCAGCAACACTTGAGGTCACAGACGCCACATGCTATTGACCCCATCTCAAGCTCTTCATATATGGAAGAAGTGCTAAAGCCAGAAGCCATGGAGCCCACAGCCGATACGACAGCCGATCTCCAGCCCTGGTCCTGATACCGACCATGTTCGATATCAATGTCAATCCCAACCCTGCCATCAATATTCCTTCCATCCAAGTATCCCAAAACCAGCAGCCAAACGCTGACCAAAATGCGACGCCAAGGGCGACAAAGAGCCTAGCGTTCATCTCACCCATCAAAATGGGTATAGTTCTCTTTCCAGCAACCGCATCACCCTCCATGTCTCTGAGGTCCTGGACGTGGATGGTGCATGTAATAGTCATCGCAATCACACCCAGCCAACCCGCAGCGGTGGCTTGTCCGCCAAATATGGAGTTCCCAGTGGCAATTTCAAGGGGTCCTGCTAGGAAAGCTGTGATTCCCATGCCATTGTGGAGGTTCTTGAGAAAGCCTCCTGATCGATCTTGAAACTCATTGTTCCACACAGAAAATGTAGTGACCACAGCCAGAGGAACCAAACCCCCAACAGCCAATGATACAATAAAGTTGAGCGGATATAGACACAAGAGAACCACTGTTGCCTGTTCTGATGTGAGTCGACCTGAAGGAATCGGTCGCCAGGGCTTATTAACCGCGTCCTCTTCGACTGATTGACGATGTCGTTGATTATGGAGATTGAAAAGCAAGAGGCCGCTCCATGACCATATTATCATCTGTGGTACTCTCAGCAGAATGGGCATAGAGCATGGGGGGTCGCCCATTGAGAGCAAGGGTGCCGCTTGTGAAGCGAGTAGTGCAAATATGAACGGTGCTATAACAATTGCTTCCAGATCGCTGCAGCTGAACAGGTACGCAGTGTGCAGATGATACAAGGTCTTTGCAGGTAGCTTTCGCAAACAAAGAGCTGCGTTTGGTGATAAGGTCTTCATGGCTGGTAAAGTATTGTGCTTCATCAAGTCTTTGCTGACGTGTAATTTCGTCAACCGGTCTCTGGACTGAGACAAGCCTATTTATTTACCTGTTTCTGTAGTTTCCAATGTATACAAGGTACCTCAAAGCCATTGTTCAGCTTGATTTGGATAATTCTAAGTTGACTGCGATGCGAATTTCTTCAGGCGGTGCAACATCAAACCCTCGCGCCTCCACAGCCCCTGCGGCCTCCCTGGACGTTGATATACAAGCTAGAAGATTGTTTTCCAATTTGGTATTGGTCAAGCAATCGTTGAAGTTAATTCTGCATCAAGACAATAACAACCTGGGACAAAGTTCGCCTAATCTGCTTGGTGTCGGGACAGCCGATGCAAGATTACCCAAAGGAGATCGTAATACCAACACACGGACTCCGCTAACATTTAGTAGCACTTCGTCAAAGCTTGTTAGTCATTGTTATTGCTTATTAATTGCAGTCGTATAAGCCCGATTGCAGGAACTTACGATATGGGTTACTTGTTAAACGACAGAAGGTAGTCTAAATCGACCGATCAACAACTTTCTAACCACACGACTTCCCTGTTGAAACCTATTCAAGAAAGGGATCGTCGATTTGAAATATTTTCATTCCTTAACTGCTGAGAAATCAGTATTTTCCATTAGCCCGGGCGCGGGGAGACTCAATTTGGACCGACTCTGGTCCATGCTCACTCCTAAACTTCATCATCTTTTAGCCTAGTGTTTCTCACCGAGCCACGTTCTTAGTTGTGATTCTTTACTTTCAAATAGAATGGAAACATTCCACAATAAACACCGCATCAGGACGGCCACGTAAGGCGCCACGTAGACAAGATTCACCTTCACAAATTACATCTTGGTAGTGACATTTAGATGGAGAAGTGAAAACAGGGTTTCTGGAATATCAAAGCTCATCATGTCAAATTTGGTATCTATTGATTCTTAACACGCCATTGTATGACGTGTACGTCTCTTAGCTTTACCTCTTGCTAAATCCAGTCGTAGGGTTATTGCGAACAAAGACAGCGTTCATCGCAGATAAGCCACGCTACCCACACACATCGGCTGTCCCAAATCCAAGGACCTGTCGCACCCTTTGTATCTTGCTAGGTGGCAGTATCATACGCATGTCTGGATTATTTGAGGTTTCGTAGTTCTTCTAAGTTGCTCAGTCTTGCTCATAGTTAGTGACCGGCGCTGCTCTGCAGTGACTCTTTCAGCCACACCGAACAAAGCTATGAAGACTTAGAATATAAAGTTCAGCGGATCAAGATTTGAGCGAGAATGGCTTCTAGGAGTCTTGACTGACAAATTTATTTTGGACACGGTACAAAGAACTGACTTGTCATGGTCCTAAAGTCTAGCTACCCTATGCACATCAATGTTGCCAGCTCGTCTCTCAAAGAATCCGTCAGTTCCTACTACTAATTTCTGGGGAAGAAAGCCAAGATCGAGTCATTTTATTGATCTTTTCATTTGTTTCTCTTTACTCCCCCTTTTCTCTCTTTCTGTATTATGTTTTTCAATGTTGGAGGTCAGTTACATTCTAAACTCTCACTTGAGGCAGGGGGGTATCAGAAACACACTGCTTGCATACCATACTTTTCTAGCTTGCCTATAGAAAAGCTGCTGCCTAAATGCTTTTCAGTGACGCTGTTCTTTGATTGCTGTTTGTGGAACGCGTATCCCGCATGCAGGGTACTCTTTGACTGACTCATGACCGTAGGACAGAGACTGTAAAGAATGAAGCTAGCACCGATTCGAACTGGTCGCGCAGAGATGGAAAGATTGTTGTTTCCTCCCGAACGCGTCTACTTGGTGACCGCTGAGGGTGACATCAAGCCTCGTGTAATTAACCTCGGTCTGCTTGGCCCCTCCAACGGTGTGAACATGACACAATCTTGCGCTGAGTCGGTCACGAACCAATAAGGTCGCTTAACTCAGTTGGTTAGAGTGCCGTACTAATACATACATCCTATGTGTCTAGTAATGCGGACGTCGCCAGTTCGATCCTGGTAGTGACCAGGTTGTCTCCTTTTGCTTTTTGTCTCCATGCGATTCTGGTTACCATCTTTGTTGTGTATGTGAATCACGAGTCGTGTGTGTGAATCAACTTGTCATTGTTAATGATTGTCATGCGAAAGCACCTCACGCGTAGGCGTAACAAAGGTTGTGCTAAAGCGTGTTCCTTGTTAAACGTTACCCTTGACTCCGAGGACAAGAACAAGGCACGAGTTTAATCTCATTTCTAGGTCTAGCTTGTTGACTAAATCAAGTTGACCACCTCTTCTGTATGTCAACAGCCGACTGGAACGAACAAGGGTTCCTTACTATTCTACCCACAACCTGCAAGCTATTTTTCAACGGCTCTACGAAATATCTCTTACTAGGTCCCAGCCCGATGATATATTTCACACGAAAATGAAGTCGGAGAGCTTTCATGCAACTGAGCTTGCAGAGCGCTGCAAATCAGCGCTACAAATTTTGCAGGATCTTCACAACAGTACGTATTAGTCTCGCCTGGGAGAAACAATAATTGCTTATTTGCTTACAATCATATAGACGGCGAGGCACTCTCCAAGAAAAATCTCGAAGAAGCCGTTGGGCTGGTCGTCTTCACCTTGAAAGGCGCCTCTATGGGTGCTGAAGTCGGACTTGGCTCCGGGCTTGTGATGGCCCGTCATGCGAAGGGAGATTGGTCATTGCCCTCTGCTGTCTCCCTGACGTACGTTGGCGGAGGGGTATCATTTGGGATTAATGTGTACAGCTCGGTCCAGGTTCTGAAGAAAGAAGAATTCGAAAAAAACTTTATCGAGCAAAGACGAGAATATGGGATGCAACTTGCGGCTTCTGCTGGTCCTCTCAGTACATATGTTGACGTTAAAGGTCAGAGCCTTGTCCAAACTCTCACAGAATCGACGGGCATGTACGTTGGTCTGACTTTTGGGGGCACCCACTTCAAAGAGAACAAGGATCTTAATGCCAAGTTTTATGGAAAAGAGGTGACTGCACAAGAAATCCTCACTGGGAATATCCAAGTTCCTGAGGCGCGCAAGAACGAGGTGAGAAGTCTTTTGGACTTTTTGACCTTATTGGAGAAGTAGAAAGAGAAAGAGCCCTTTCAATATGAACGATTCTTCTTGGTTTGCCTTTTGATTTTTGTAAAACTAAACACTATCCCATTCTGCCACCTCAGGCCTCACGTGTTGATATGCGATTTCATTCGGTATTAATTGAATCCAAGACTTGCCCATAGATTAAGCGCAAGCTGCTTTGAATTGCCTATTTGATTTCAACGCCACTGCTTAGAGAGAAGAGATGCATCGCTATCTCGCCCCTGCTAGAATCCTCGCCACTTTGTCTCATACTCAGGCAAGGTTCGCATCACCCAAGGATAAAGCCCCATAGGGCTAGTTGCAGTGAAGGTTCTAGGCGAATAGAGGTAAAGTTCTCTATCATGACTTATTCGCCCGCGTGACCTCCTTAATAAACTTTAATTCCCGTATAGATTCACATCTCCAGTCTTCCATGCGCCTGAATCGACATTAATAAATAATTGTTTTTCAAAGAGAGACCGACATTTACAACCTGCACTTACTTTCATATCTCAGACTCGTTAAGCGGGCGAATATTTGAAGATAAGACACGGTACTCAGAGAGCTTCAGGCATAACCAAGCGAGTTCGTGCAGATATCAACTGGTGTCTTTCTAGTCCTTTTACGCCGCATAAGTGGAAAGTATAGTCCCATCCAGATAAGCTATCCAGCGGCAACGCCGACCTCTGGGCTACTTAAAGTCCAAGGTCTCGTCAAAATATACAAATTAATGCAACGAGCCGCCGACGAAAATCCGCAAGAAGCCGCCCTCCATGATGTGGCCCAGCATGGCACCACCCCGCGAATCCGAGGAACCCAGTCCACCGCAATATACCAGCCTCAGAGTAGCTGATCGAGAAGCTGCCATCGTCGAGGATGTTTGGGAAGCGATGATCCCTCGAAGGTGGCAGGAGCTTAAGTGGTTCAACTTGGAGTTTACCTGTGCACCTGAAATTTTTCACGAAAACAAGTCCTTCATACAGCGGATATTGAGGGACCGAAAAGCTCAACAATATTGGAAAGCCAAGCTTTTTGTCAAAGCCAAGAACATTCCTCGTCTAATGCGACAAGGGTTTCATCTTTCGGCCGCAGACTTGATTCCAGGATATGGCGAGATGCATTTTGATGATCAAGGGAGGGCAGAAGAAGTAGGGTTTGACCCTTCATGGAAACACAGACGGTGTTATTATTTTATGGATACCGCTGGCGACCCAGAGTGGAAAGCTACTCTCGAGGTGTTCGCCAAATCTCCCTCTGTTGTTATGAATTTCAGACTCGAGTGGACAACACCAGACACCGTCTTCCTGGCCTATGCATACCGCTGGGATGAGAGACAAGTATATAAAGCCTGCACAGTACGCAGAAACCACAGCTTCAATACCCTCTTCGATGAGATGCCGACTGGTGGATGGTGGCCAGCGCCAAAGGAGATGCAAGAGCAAAGCAAACCACGATCCCTGAGATTGAGCCGCTGGCTACGAACTAAACCAGAAACAAAATACGGCGAATCTCCATCATAGTAATCGGAAGTGCGTCTCATTACGTTCAATTTATCAGCAATTTCTCGGACATGATCAGGCAAACAAATGCAGCGGAGCGTCACCCTACGTTGGAGCTCATGAATGGAGTCAGAAAGCCGAGAAGCAAAGTGTATTATTAGTTGCCTATCCTATTCCCATAATTACAATCCTCTTTTCTCTCCCAAAATTGCAAACCGAACTATCTGCAGGGTTTATTATGGCTTTGCTTCGTGAGAGGCTACTAGACTCAGCAACCGCGATCGAGTACGGACAATGTTTGAGACGCTACCAAAACAATAAATCAGAAATGCACAGAAGATCAAGTTCGAAATCGCAGCATAGTTTGTTATTCGACCGCTATTGTGTTCAGTATTGTTCATCAAAGACTAAGGTCTCTTCATTATATTAGAAGAATTCTGGTGTGCCATGTTTTATCCCCGTCTCCAAATAACGGTCCTACTGAAGAACATTTCTGGAGGCCTGGTGCAGCCAACTACTTACGCATCACACCTTGTCATCACTAACTACTATGTAGACGGCCCGAGCTGTCTGACCCCCACTGCCTCAGCTCTAGGCCAGCTCTAGTAAAGCCAGGGGTACTCTCTAGTGAGTTTGTGGATTCGTTAGGAGGCTGGGCAACCGTGGAATGCTCGAATTCAGAGGCAATGCTATGGAGATCTCGTAGGCGGTCGCGAAAATGTATCTTCTCCAAATCAATGGAGATGACGTGTTGTAAGCTCACGGGGGAGGTTTTCTTATCGAGAAAAGAAAATCGTTCTGGTTCTCGGCTGAGATGCCCCCTCTTAAATGCTTTCAATATTCAATAGCGGTGGCGGTTGCGGATCCCTCAGCTTGGACGAGACTGAACTATCGAATTTGCACCCATGTTGTCAATATTAAGACCTGGCTATGGACCTGACTAGCCAGCGCATAATAAAAAGAATGTTCGGGACTGAGGGATGTGCCCAGAGAACCGGCTAGAGTTGGCTTCTAGTCAGTCCCAATCCTTTTTATCATTAAGTGAAGGGCGCCACCTCCTGCGGCCTGACTTTAGTAACCACACCACGATCTTTGGTTGACTTGTGTAGCAAGCCACCTTGAGCTTCGGCCCAATTACACTCGTTTTTACTTTTAAGCTATGTGGTCTAAAGTCGCCCTTGCGGCATTTGCCCTGGTTGGCTCGCTGGACCTGACAGCAGCCAAATGTAACAAAGCGACTACCGGTTTGCCGGCATCGGTCACCACACCAGGAGGATATACCGGTACATCAACGGCAGGTCCCTCGACCATAACCAGCGGTACACTACAACCGCGAGGTGTACAAAATCTGATCCGAAACGGCAATTTTGTTGGATACGACCCCAGTGCCCCCGGGGGCCTGTACGGATACGAAGTTGATGGAGACGGAGAAGCCCGCCAGGTTTCTGGCTTGGGATATACTGGCGATGGAAGCGAGGAGAGTGCTTGCGCTTACTTGACCGTTGGCCAGCCCAAGGACAGCACGACAAACGGCATTGGCCAGCGCGATGTCATCCCAGATCAGAGCGTCAGCATCAAACAAGAACTCCAGAGCACCGATCGCGAGAGTGTCTACACCATGCGCGTTTGGTACTATGTCGACATGAACGAGAAGGCCAACACCTGCAAGTTGATTGCCACCTACGATACCGGGGTCTTGGTAGAATCCGACTATTTCCCCGTTGTTGCCGCCAACTCTGGAACCTTCAGCTGGACTGCGTTGGTCCAGGAAAGCCCTCTAATCTCTGAGAGTGGCTATCTCAAGTTTGAGGTCAGATGTTCCGATGGTGGCTCGGCTGCAGTTCGCTTCGACCAGGTGTTCTTCACCAACGAAGTCAGTCTTAGCGATTTGGACGACATCACCGTCATTTACTCTGCTTTCGCCGATGCGTCGACAGCTCCGCCTAGCCTGAGCTCTACCGCTCCTATCGTGGCCTCTACTACAGACAGTGTTGCCTTGTCTTCGGCAGCACAGAGCCCAGCCGCATCCAGCCCAGGCACAAGCCCAACTATAAGTGACAACGTCACAGCGAGTAGCTCCTTGACCGGAGTTGCGTCTACAACGACTGGGGTCGGCTCGAGTAGCGCTTCCACGACTTCATCCAGCGCTGCTGCATCCTCTACCAGCTTTGGTGACAACATTTGCGCTACGTTGGGAAGCGCCTCAATCGCCGGCAGAGGCTGTGCCAGACGGCCATACTCTGGATCATCTGGCTACAAGCAGTATACCAGCGATGGCACAAAAGAGCAGTGTGCCGCCCTGTGTCTCAAGGATCCTCGTTGCCTATCATTCCAGTGGAACACTAAAAGCATCGGTTGTGTTAACGGCTGCTACCTCCTGGAGACTTCTCTTGCTGATAACTCGGCGAACAACGGCGGAAGTGACTCCAACTGGGCGTACGATCGATCTTGCATTGCTCAGACGCAGTGCTCGACCACAGTGCCAGACAACACCGTCTGTGTCAATGTCGAGGGAAGCACTCCGGGTGCGGGTTGCACGAGTAACCTCAATGGGCAACCGAGAGCTTGCGCATCGCCCTTTATCACGACCAGCGTGAGCCCCATCTGCGGTTCCAGCGCCTGTCGCGACGTTTGCCACCAGTATCCTTCTTGCAAAGCGTTCTCGTACTCGGTCACCGGCGGTCAAAACTGCAAGTTATACTCCGACACTGTTTCGACTGTTGCAACGTCCGACGGTGCCAACTATCTCACATTCTTTACCGATCGAAGCTGCAATGCCTGCGGAAGTGGGATGGCCCAGTTCAAGATTGTGGCTACGCTCGCAGACCCTGCCAGCATGCCCGTTCTAAGTTGCCCAGCAGCATCTTCTGCCGCTGTCGTCACTTCTTCCTCGTTGTCAACTTCCTCTTTCTCTTCTTCTGTAATTTCAACGTCATCAGCTACTTCTACCACGCTTCCTGCATCAACTACGACAGCAGCACCTTCAGCAACCACAACCGCTGCGTCTATGGACGCCTGTCCTGGAGGACAGAGCTGCACAGCCAACCTTCTTGTCCCAGCCAACGTGTACTGTAAGAGAGCTGGCCAGTTCAACTTAGATATTGGTGCCTGGCTTCCTGATTCAACCAAGTTCCCTGGCAAAGCGACATCGCCTGAACAGTGTGCATCCATTTGTTCTCAGACCAAGAATTGCAACTCGTCCTCCTTTTCGCCTTCGCAAGGCACATGCTATCTCATTTCTGAGACTCTTGCCCAGGGACAGTTCGTACCCCAAGACGCGAGCAGCACTTCTGAGCTTTGGAGCGACAATGCATGCTTCACCTGCTCGCAATGTGAGAATAACTCCAGCACGGCGCAACTGACAACAACGACTCCGACTCTCTCTGCGACTACTACCACCACTCCTTCAAGTACATTCCCAAACACGACCTCGACTCCCACGCTCTCTACGCCCACAACTTTTGATACAAGAACCACGCCAGCTTCTTCAAGCACTAATGAAATCTCCTCCTCATCAACCGACCCAGTCATTACTCCTTATCCCCAGTCGACTAGCACTTCTGCCACACCAACCACGACCACTTCGGCCCCTACAGCTGCCCAAACGTGCGCGGCACCAGTGGCAAGCCTTGGTGATGATAATACATGCGGCATACCCGCCGTCGGCGGCCAACAAATTCAGAGCACCCGGCTTGAAAACTACGTCATCAAACCCGTGGGCAGCCTCGTAAACTGCGCCCTGGAATGCCTGGCTAGAGCAGATTGCTTGGGCTTCTCTTACACGAAGACGGATACTTCTTGTCGCCCTTACAGAGTCGGTACGGCCGGACTTGGTCTGACCTATACGCCGACTGAGGCGACCAGGTTTTATGATAGGTCTTGCTTCACCTGTGCTGTCTAAAGATATCTGAAACACACGTGTTGACAAAAGAAATTCTATGTAAATGTTTTAATATAGCTGTCAAAAGAATGTTTATAATTCTAAATGGTCATTCAACTACCTTAGCTGGATGTACACAATTTCATTGTGCCTTCTCTCTCTGCCTCACCAAATGATCCAACTAGAATAATTGAGCATTTCAGTATGGAAAGAGAAGAAAGTCCAATAGAGATCTAGTATCACAAAGTTCAATATTAAGAGCAGCCTCAATCTAATTTCCATAAACTAGAATACAATCTAAGATGGCCTTGCAGCCCCCAATAATTCCTACCATAAACAAGAGGGATCTAACTCAACACCCCCCACCTCTTCAAAAGTGTATTGAAACTGCCAAGGAAATTTGGACTCTGAGGGATCGCTTCTGCCAGCGCGTTCCTTCCATGCGCCTTGGGAGGGTAAATCAGATACTGGTTTATCTGTGTCTTGATCTGCTTGGCAACAGCGCCTGTAACCATGACCTGACGCTCCCACCCGCTTGTAAGAACTGCCCCGTATGAACCTAGGTCCAAACAGGTCACGTAGTTGGGTTGGCTATACGGCACTGTTTGTTCGCCAACAAGATCAGCCGCGGCGTTGTGCCCTGAGAAACGACCGAGTATTTGGGCATGCTGGCAGGACATCAAGGTGTAGTGACCGTCGCTGTCTCCGGTAAGGGCACGACAAGCATCCCCAGTGGCGAATATCCGCTTACACGAGGGAACCCGCAGGTCTTGATCAACGTGCAGACGACCCATGGAATCTCTGGGACCATCGATTTGTGCTGTCAGGGGCGTGGCACCCATGCCGGCCGTCCAGACAGCAGTCAATGAAGGGATGTGTTCTCCAGACGCAAGCGTAATGCCGGTGGAATCGACGGCTTGTACAGCTGATCCAGATTTGACTTCGACGTGAAGACTTTCCAAGGCCTTTTCGATAGTAGGGCGTGGACCTGGGCCAAGCTCAGCGCCTACTTCGTCGGCACTGTTGACCAGGACAACCTTTGGCGCTGGGTCAGACTTGAAAATAGCTTTCAGTCGCGATGGCAGCTCGGTAGCTAGCTCAATTCCTGTGAATCCTGCACCACAAACAACGACGGTGTCGCGGGCAGGGCTGGGAGCGAGCGATGGTAGCTCCTCGAGTCTAGATTCAAGCCTGGTCGCTCCCTCGAAGGTGTCAACATCGAAAGCGTGTTCAGCCAGACCAGAGACACTTTTAGGATGCAAGAGCTGACTCCCCGCCGCGAGGATGAGACGGTCATATGAGACTTGTGAGCGGCTGCCTCCACTAGACAAAACCACGACCTCATCCTCGTCGCTGTCAATGGTCTCAACGGTACCTTGCATAAAGCGGATTCCAGTAGCCTGAAATACTTCTTCGAGCGAAACCTTCATCCCTTGTGCATTCTGCTCGTACAGTCTTGGGCGGAGTACGAGTGACGGTTCTGGGGCAATGACCAGGACTTCGACCTCAATCTCGGGATGAAGATTGAGCAGACGCTTGGCCCCAAGAGCGCTCCAAAGGCCTGCAAAGCCAGAGCCAATGATGACAATTCGCTGTTTCATGATATTTGCGGAAGAGGAGAAAGAGTACACGGGATTGTGTGTGCTCTATGAATGATGAATTGATGATGAGGAGCAAGGGTAATAAAGTCGATGATCTATATATGAATCCTCGGTCAATGAGTAGCCAATATACGAGACATCCCGATCACAGATATCCGTTGTCGCCGTCATCAAGTACTGGACGTCATCGTATCTCGGGATCTAGCGGAGAAGCTTTTTTCTTGTGCTTCAGCCCCAGATCGAACAAGCTTATTCATGAAGTACCGAAAGCGGAGCCAGAAGTCTTCTTTGAGCCATTTAGCAGTAAAATGCCGCCAGAAATCACTCAAGAGACATTGGTTACCCGGATCGATACTGCTAATTGCCGCTTTCAAAGACATCCGCCAAAGCATGTGGCAGTCAACTCTGGCCCCTCGCGGATGGAAAAACCTGAGCTCATGATTATGCCATCACCGTAGCTTGTTCTTGATTCTCGCTTTCACAGAACTAGAGTGTGTTCTAGTCTTCAGATCAGACCCGCAGGTGTATCAAATCAAGCCGACCAACACGACCAGCATTCCTCCGCCGGTGCCCGAGTAGGCTCCCCTTGATCTTCATGTCGGCACAGCATACACGAGTTGCCCGCTCGTCGCTTGCCTGTCTTCCCTGCCGATCCCGCCATCTGAAGTGCGACGGCAAGCGGCCCTTTTGCAGTCGATGTACCTCAGCAGGGAAGCCTTGTCAATATGCCAAATCTCGACGCGGCGGTCTCGATCGTGCCGCTCTCGCAGCGCGTCGTGAGGCCCAATTGGCGCAGAAAGGCGGCGCTGCAACATCATCCAGCCTGCCCCCTACCAATACGAGCTCGGACACGATTTCAGTCTCATGCGTCTTAGAAAGCCCTCCTCTCACTGTAGATTTGGAAAGTCTTTCTTCCGATGTAGTTCTCGAGGCCAACCATGACGGGGAAGCATTCGACATCGACCAAGACTGGCTTGGTAGCAGTACCCTCTCCCCAGCTGCGTTGCCTTCGCCTCCGATTGACATCAACGGGGACCTGCTTCTTGAGGCGTATTACGATCGCTTTCATGCTTTCCATCCTTGTGTTCTTCCAAAACGGGATCTGGAAAGGCTCTCCCACAATCCAGATATACGTTCAAGGCTCGCACCAGTACTCGCCGTGATACGTATGATTGGCGCCGTCTATACCCGCTCTCCAGACCTCAATCAGTTGCGGGATCATCTTCATGACTGCCTTTTGAAAGCGAAGCCAAATGATCCGTTCATCGTTCAGGCGCGCCTGCTCTACTCGATCCCTCTATACTGGCAAGGGGACAAAGTAAGCGCGCAGCAGCAAATGGACTCTGCCATCAACATTGCTCGCCAATTGGGCATGTTCCAAAAAGAATTCGCGACGGAGAATGGGTTCGGGGAACCTGTTCTGCAGGAAAGCTGGAGAAGGACATGGTGGCAGCTGTACATTGTAGATGGATTCTACGCCGGGACGACGAAAACAACGCCATTCGAGACCAAAGACATTGCGGCCACGGTAGAGCTACCTTGCCAGGAAAGCGAATACGAATCTGGTGTATGTTTTCCATGCTGCCCACTCATCTTTCCTAAGAGTATAGGACTGACAAGGTCGTTGTCTAGACAATTTCTCCTCCAAAGACACTGGAAGATTTCGATTCGAGGGAGTTCGCATTTGAGAAACACGATTACTCCTCATTTGCATACCTCATCGGCTCCGTGCGCTGCGCAGCACTTGCTTCCGACGTTGTGACGAAAGGCCTTTCAAGCAACTCGGGCCCGGTCATCGTCGACTCTGCCGACTCGATCATTGAAGGATACCTCCTATTGCTGCCAGAAGAGCGCAAGCAGGTCATATCCAAAAGTGGCGAGATGGACGAGCTCATGTTCCAAGCCATCATGGCCATCAACGCGTACGTGAGATCCGGTGCTCTGCATGCAGAGGTAGCTAACAAGAGCATGTAGAGCAATCATCGGGCTTCACCGACCGTTCTCAGATCTACGTTTCAACCCTGTCGAATCAGTGTCAAGCTGTTCGACGGACCCTCCAAGCAATGCTTCAAGCTCCGAGTTGGTGAACATCCACACGGTACGGAGTCTCCAAGCCATCCAGTCGCAGGTCCGTCTCCTCGCCTTACCTGTGCGGCCGTTTTGCCATACACCCTTCGTTACTTGCATGATGTCCGTAGGGACTCTGGGCCTACTGTCCGCATGCAAATTCCTCTACAAAGGCCAAGAACTGGCAGTGGCGCGAGATCGGATCCGCATGGCCATTGGATGTCTGAGGGCAATTGGGGACATTTGGCCGCAGACAGCAAGAAATCTGCAGGAAATACAGACGATAGCTCGGGATGTCTTGGGGATAGGTCCGAAGACGATGCCGGGAGCGCAGCAGCCTAGAAAGGAGAAATCTCCCAGTATCAGTGAGGGAATGCCAGATCCGACCAAAGCACTTACTGATATGACGAGCGGGTTCACGCCCTGGGATACTTTGGAAGAGTTAGAACCAGACATGTGTTTGTGGTTCAATCTAGGCATGACCGACAAGTAAAGGGCTTAACAGTAAATCCATAGCAAAAAATATTGCCTCAAATTAAGCGAAAGAAGAAAAAAACATGGGTAGGCGTTGAACTCACCTTGTCATTCATGATGATCGAATGCGAAAATGACAAAAATGAAATGGTACCTTGCCCCGTACTGGAATCGAACCAGTGATCTTATCATTACTAGTGATACGCTTTACCACTGAGCCAACGGGGCTTCTTAGGTGGCAAAAACGGTTGCAATTTAGCACTAAGAAATGAGCCCAGTCATGTTTATTCTTTCGATCGTTTCATTACCCTAAACCGTGGCATGCAATTCCCACCATTTCGCCCCCAGAGTGTTAAACTCGGCATTTGACGGCTCTGAACAAACTGGTTCCGAGTTCTTTTCATGATCCGAATGCCTATGGTTTCTTTCTAGGGTCTGTTTGC